GCATTTCATAGTCGTTGGTGAACCAGCGAATTGCAGTTCGCACCAAAGGAGCCTAAGTTGTCAGGAAAGTTGCGCCCTCTCTCAGTCCAGCTCGGGTCTCAAAGCACTGTGATGCTTTATTGTGTTCTTTGCTGAAAATTGTGATGGGATTTTATTTGCATTCAAGGTACGGCATGGCAGGAACCGACGACAACGAAAGAATAGGGGCTTCACTGGCATGAAGTCAGAGGTGAGTCTTTTAATTTTTATGGAGAAAATAAAGTCTTTCGGTTGTGCAGTATATTTCTGAGAATTACCAAGAAACTTAATTTTCCCAAAACTCCACGCAATTAACGAAAGACTGGTCCCTACCATCAGGACCAGTTGATCACTCCCTGGAGTGCTGGCAAGAGTTCTTCACGTCTGTAGCGTAAGACATACCAGACTGCAAGATCTTCAGCATTTGGCAGGCCGATATAACAATGTTTATAAGTCCATACATTCCATTGTTTTCGAGGAAGCTGGAAATGTGTGTATGTTGATGGTATCTGAAAGGGCACATGTTCCTCTTACCATATATGTAAGCTTCATAAACATATTTGCTGTAGTTAGGGAAATATCTCAGAATGAAGGCTAGAGTCCTTGTCCAACTGCTTGCTGTTGTTGTGCAAATCTCAGATGGCTCCATATATTGGAGCATAAATGCTCTGAAAAATATCCAAATCTGGCAATCGTAGTGGAATCTGAAAGGGCACATGTTCCTCTATCTATTGGTGTACGTTTCGTTTCCATATTTGCCGTAGTTAGAGAAATATCCCAGAAAGAAGGCTAAAGTTCTTTACGACCTGCTTCCTATTTTGTGCGATTCTCCCTTTATCCACACTTTACCGATTCTGTTCCCGCATATTCGAGCATAAATTCCCTGAAAATTATGCAAATCTGCCAATGGTGGTGGCATCCGAAAGGACACATGTTCCTCTACCTATTGATGTGGGTTTCATATCCATATCTAACTCAGAAATGGAAATATTTAAGAAAGAAGGCAACAGTTCTTATCCAACTGCTTGCTTTTTAGTGCGATTCTCTGTTTGTCCACACTTTACCAGATCTGTTTCCGCATAAAGATTGATCCATATACATTGTTCAAAAATAAATGCTCTGAAAATAATACAAATCTGGCAATCGTGCCGGCATCCAAAAGGGCACATATTCTTCGACTTATTGATGTAAGTTTTATATCCATATTTAAATCAGAAATAAAAATATCTAAGAAAGAAAGCAACAGTTCATGTCTAACTGCTTGCTATATTTGTGCGATTCTCCCCTTGTGCACACTTTACCAGATCTGTTGGCCCATAAAAGAGGTTTCATTATATTCGAGCATAAATGCCCTGAAATTATCCAAATCTGGCATCTGAAAGGGCACCTGTTCCTCTAACCATTAATGTAACATTCAAATCCTTATTGGGAAATATCAAACAAGAAGGCAAAAGTTCTTCTCAGCCTGCTTCATATTTTTGTGCAATTCTCAATTTGTCTACACTTTACTGGTTCTGTTCCCTGCATAACGAAAGTTCCCTATATTCCAGAATAAAAACTCTGACAGTTATCTAAATCTGGCAATCGTAGTGGCATCTGAAAGGGCACATCTTCCTCTAACCATGTAACATTCATTTTGATGTAACATTCATATCCATATTTGCTGTAATTAAGGAAATATCAAAAAAGGAAGGCGAAAGTTCTTCTCAACCTGCTTTCCATTTTTGTGCAATTTTCCCTTTGTCCACACTTTATGGGCTCTATTCCCACACAAAGAAGGCTCCATATATTCGCCCAATTATTCAAATATGGCACTCCTGGTGTTATCTGAAAGAGCACATGTTCCTCTAACCACTGATGTAAGTTTCGTATCCATATTTGCTGTAGTTAGGGGAATATTCAAGAAAGAAGACTAGATTCTTTGGCCAACTGCTTCTTATTTTTATGCCAGTCTCCCCTTGTACAAACACACTTTACCGGTTCTGTTCCTGCGTAAAGAAGGCTCCGTATATTTGAGCGCAAATGATCTGAAAATTATCCATATCTACCAATCGTGGTGGCATCAAAAAGGGATTCGTATGTTTATTTTTCTTTTCGTTTCAAATCCACATTTGCTGTAGTTACAGGGAAATATTCCCGAAAGAAGGCGATAGTTGTTTTCTTCCCGCTTTTTTCCAACTCTCCCTTTCTCCACAGCTTACTAGGTCTTTTCCTGAGCAAAGATGACTCACTATTGAGCATGAAATGTCTGAAAGTTGTCCAAAGCTGGAAATCGTGGTGGCATCGGAAAGGGCATATTTTTAAACCTCTATCCGGTGCCGTACGTTTTATATACAAAAATTTCGACAGTTGTTTCCATCCTACTCCGTGTTTTTGAGCAATCCTCCCTTTGACCACACCATACTCAGCCTCTACCTGCGCAGAGACGCCTCCCTATAATTATTTTTATAGCATACGGCAAATATTCATGTGTCCATTGATGTGAGTTTTATATTCATATTTGCTGTATATTAAAGACATATATCCAAAAGAAGGCTAGAGTTCTTGTCCAACTGCTCGCTATTTTTGTGCAATTTTGCTTGTGTTCACATCTTACGGGGTCTATAAATCCTTGATTAGTTAAATAGTGTGATTATTGTCCAAATCGGCCGATCTTGGTGTCATCGGAAAGTTTCTCTTTCCACTGGAAAATGTTTCATTTTGATACTTTCAAACTTCCATAGTTTGAAAAGCAAGAGAAATAGCAGCAAATGAAGATGACTTTTTAGGTCAGTCGAACTTGCCGCTTTGTCCGTTCCGCAGAGTACACTCGTTATTCGAGTGATTTTCCAGCAATGATGGGCTTCTATATTTGTGTTTAAATAGTCTGATTATTGTTGAATCCAACCGATCTTGGTGTTGTCCCAAACTTTACATGTTGCTTTATCCATTGAAGATTGTTCCGTTTTCATATTTCTAGACTCAACGACAAACACTCCACTGCTTCGTGGACAGATCCATATGAACTATTGGGGCTGGGAAGGATACGTTTGAATGTAAATGTCACCAGGAAAGGGAATCAGTCTTAAGAAAAAGCACTCCCTCATCGGTTGAAAAGAGCCATGTTAGTATGGGGACTGTTCGTTTTGGAATTGGCGCGACAGTTTATGCGTGAATTTCGTAGTGGTTCGTGAACCAGAAAAGTGCAGTTCCCACCAAATTAGCCTCTGGGTGCAGCCCGTAAATAAACTCCCATAGAAACAGTGATAAATCCCTTTACCTCAAAATTATTGTAATAATAATCAAAACTTTAACAGGTGTTCAGTCTGCCCCAAAAAATGATGATTAAACATGTCGTCTTTCATTTTGGTGGGTAATGACGTTTTGAGAAATTCTCAGCCAAAGCAGACCATCCCTAAATGAAGGAAATTTCCCTGTCCTCAGCAAAACGGCTAAAAACTACCACTTTCTGACGGGCCCGATTGCTCAGAATTGGGAACCCCAATTCCAGGCCAGAGGTTCAGTGTCATATTTCTTCAATTCCCCATTTCCATGGCTGTCAGAACTCTCTAGTGCCTATAACTTTTATTAACCATCTTGACTGACAGATTTCTGGCCTATTTACGTAGGCGCACCTTCCAACTCTACGAAGTCAATCATTAGTCTATAAAATATGTAGGCCTACCATACAGAACCTGCCAAAAACTTGCCCCAAAATATACACGTACAAGGGATTCTGGCTTCGCCCTATGAGGCTCTAAACTTCGTCAAAGAAATTTTCTGTGATTTTTGTTGTTGCTATGTTAGAGATAACAGGATCAGGAATGCCAAAAAATGAAACACTCCCTTTCCCTGTTTTGTATATGCTACATATTGTGGAACTTACCATGGTTGACGACAGCGGCATGCTCGAGTTAAGAGAAACAGTGATGGTGTAATGTACAACACGGGGACGCATATATCCATATTCGTTTTCGTTAGTAAAATATCTTTGAAAGAATGCAGGAGTTCCTGTGCTACTCCTCACTATTTTCCGATTTTCCACTTGTCTACGCATTATTCGTCCTGTAGTCCGGGGAGTCAGGGCCTGAACTTTGTTGTTTTTTTACGGGCAAGCGGGCACGATGATGAAACATGACGTGACATACACTGCTTACGATGGTATTTGTTTTCACTTATTTTTAATCATTTTCCCAATTTTTAACCTTTTTTTTTTTTTTTTTTACCAGTGGCGTAGCTAGGATTAGGATTTTACTAGTGGAGGGCACTAGCATCTTATGGGGCACCAGCTTGCAATGGTATAGTTATGGGGTAAGTTTTTGTTGGCCTTGTTCAATATCCACTCATCCGGGTTTTTTCTTAGTGGGGGCACCTGTGGGGGCCCTGTTTTTACTAAGAGCATGGGGGTCGACCCCGGATCCGCACCTGCAATTATTCCTGAAGAACGAATTTTACAAAAATCTATACCTGTCTGACTTTTCTCTGTCCCCTCAGGGGCTCCGTACGATCCGGCTAGCCGGAACCAGCAAACTTCTCATCGTGTTCCCTAAACATAGTTTCCAGGGGGCGATCCCAAATCTAGACAAGGGGATGTCACGAATATTGTCTTTTTCATATGTTTGGTACAAATACCTTTACTGAGATATTATTCCTATAACAAAATAGTTAAAGCTTGTTTAGAAAAAAATAAGCTAATTTTCTGTCAGTCCGAATGTTCAGAAACCGAATCAACTGACTGACAAATTTTAGACTGAAATCCCCTCTTTGATCATAGGCGAAACCATGTGGTCCGATGTGATGTGATGCCATAATCCGCGTTCGCGCATGCATTATATGCACCAGTTCAGCAAGACGAGTGCTAGTGCACGGTATGCGTGACACATACGGAATTGCCGGTATCAGGATAAGACATGACTGCTCTGGCAGGATCTGGCGAAATCATCCAAAATTCTCTCGCCGGTGGTAATTACTTCCCAAGTTTTTGCAGCAATTAACTGTTTGTATCTAATCATTTTATACTGTTTATCGATTTATTAGCAGCAGTTGTTACTGTTAGGCCTGACCGTACGTGTGGCCGCGCCTGATGCTATGGCTTGACAACTTTCATGTTAAGAGCTATCACGCAGAGCGTGCATGGCCAGTTGGTTAACCGTATCCACGTCAGATTAGAGGAATTTTGGAAGGCAACGGTCATCATGATTGATGCTCGTCGTAAGGATGTGTAAATTATTTAATTTCACTCCGATGGCATTTTCCCAGACAAGTTTTGTAGTTTTAATTTCTGCCCAAAGAGGTTCTGACTTTTTGGGTTCGTAACGCCATGGAGGAATAAAACCCACCTATAGTACACTGCGCTCCCCTACAGCCACATGCCCATCCACTAGGCCTATACCAAATTTTTGTTGACTTTTTTCAAGCGCTTCGAAATAAAAGCATTTTCACGATTGGAGTTGCTCAATGTACACCATAACCCTCTCCGCTTCCAAATCAATCCTTCATTACATAATCTTACCTCCTTCTTTTCGAGAAATTCGCAGCTAATCTTTAAACTTCATACGTTTGTGCACATTGACGTTGACAGCTCAAATCACCTAAACTGCTCACTGCCATGACTGCCAGCCCATGCATGGGTAAACAGGAACTAGCCATCGCATCTGAACACCTGGTGCTGTATTTGCATAACGGTTAAGGGGTCACAAACTTGACGCCATGATGATTCAAGCTGTCAAAGTCAATGTGCACGAACCAATGAAGTTCAATAATTAGCTGCAAGTTTCTCGAAAAGTAGGAGGTAAGATTACGCAGTCATGGATTGATTTAGAAGGGTATGGCGTACATCGAGTAACTCCAATCGTGAAAATGCTTTCATTTCGAAGCGCTTGAAAAAGTCAACCAAAATTTGGTATATAGGCATGTGACTGTAGAGCCTAATGGGCAGGACACGCTACACTATGCCAAAGCCATTATCAGTGAAGGGTTTACTATAATTTCAGAATATTCAAACATTGAATAACATTTCTTAAAATTTAAGTTTTTTGGTTCTGATTTCAGGAATTGCAGGATGTTGTGGCAAAGTGACAACAGCCCCTCTTGACCGGGTCAAAATTCTCCTACAAGCCCATCATCAATATTACAATCATCTTGGTAAGATCCTAATGAAAGAGGTTACATGTAGTACAGATAAACGTGTAGTGTGCTTAAGCATTGTATTGGTACATGGATGTTCGAATGTAATCCAGCGCTGTATTTTCTCGGCATGTAATCGAGGGTGGATGGGGGGGGGAAATTGAGGGGCCATCCCCAACCCAGGAAAAGCAACCCTCTCCCCCCTCCTTTTTTGGGAAAAATAATGAGAAAGGTGGTTTTTTTTGTAAATTTCTTTCTTCTCCCTTGCAAATATGTGTTTAAAGTCCTAAAATATATCTGTGCCCTACAAAAAGGCCATAAAAGGTTACATAAAAGCTTCGAAATATTTTTGAACCCACCCACCTCCAAAAATGCTCCCCCCCCCCAAAGTTTGTTCTGGATCTACTCCTCCAACATCATGTTTTTGCAATCCTTGGTAAACAACTCCTTGAATCACTTGTACACAAGTTTTGTGCGAGTACTGTCCTATTTTGAGAGGGATCGGTTTTGAGGATGTAAGGTGTCAGGCTGCACTTGGGGCTAACATTCCCTGCAAATGTAGAGAACAGTGGCGTGTTAGCTTTATGTTGAGTTACTTTGGAATTCACGATGGCTGCCGGTGTACGTGCGGAGGTCAACCTCTTTGCAAAGCAAAGCACACATGGGCACATATTCATCAGGTTATTTTCATTTCCGTTGAGGCTGTGACACAATCATTTCTTAAGTGTTTTTATGATACGAGTTGACCGTTCAGTTACGCCAACTACAATTTACATGGATCTGATACAAGATTACGAGGGGAGGACTCCTGCCTCTGCAGTGGCACAGACATTTCAACAGCTGTAGTGTATTGATTTTGTTTCTTCAGTGCTACATGAAATAAAGCGCATCCACTGGTGAAATTATATTTCCACCTTTGTACATATTACCCACGTTATCTTTACTGTAAAAGCATTAGGCTGTGAGAAATTAAGCACAACCGTGACAAAGCTGTTGTCCTCTTGCGCGCTAGGGGTTTGTATTTATACAACATAGCCAGTGCATTCTTACCACACCGCCAAACGCATCTCTTCCCTGAGTATACGTCCATCACAACAAATAGCCTTGTTGTGGTCGGCAAGTCAACGTGTTAATACCTTTGCTCTTTCAGGTGTATGGTCCTCTCTTGCCAAAGTAGTAGAGCATGAAGGAGTGCGGGGACTGTACCGTGGCAACGGTGCCATGATGGTGCGCACCTTTCCATATGGGGCGATACAGTTTGTGACGTATGACTGGTTCAAAAAGGTATAATGCATGATGATGACAATACAGATCCATTGCATTTTCTTTGTGGTCGGAGTAACGACACTCTGTGCTGACCGTTTAGAATAACTGTCACAGAGGTATGTTCTGAACAGTGCCCGACGCAGTGCTAGGGCTGTGCCGAATAACGGAATGTTGTTTTTCGAATTTGAATATTTGAATGCAAAATTCATGAAAAGGAAGGGAGAATTTTCCTTTGGTTTTTAAATTAGAAAAATAGCCTATGGAGGCTTGTTTCAAGCAGATTCAAGTGAAGAGTGACAGAAATCTTACAATGATTCATAAAGGAAATTATTCATGCAACAATTTTAAAGGTATTGAAATTTAGAACAGGGCAGGAAGTTTGGTCATCTTTTAAATCTTGCTAAATCGTGGCTGGAGATTCTCCTAGATGTAAGAAGCTATTACACTGATCATAATGTTCAATTGTGTGCATTATTGCTACTGATTTTGTATACGGTTTGTTCATCAACAATCTGCTGGTAGGTACGACTGAATATTTGGATATTCGATCAAATTGAAGGTCGAATATTTGAATAGTGAATTATTTGAATAGACTCAGCCCTACACAGTGCTTCTGCCATTTCTGGGAGCTAAGATAAGCGTACTGTTAACCATGGTCAGGCGAAGTCTGTTAGGTTTGGGATTAGACAAGCTTGTTCCGGTGGATCTTCTACCCCTGACTCACCTGGTTACTTTCATGTGTGAGATGTCCCACCAGTTTACCACCAGTCGCTTCTGCAGCCCTAGCTTTGTGACGATGAGATGATTAAAACAATTCAGAAACCTGTCAGTGTGTTACAAACTACATGATGATGTACATGCAGACAATGAGCTAGGTACTTCCCTTTACCTGATGTTCTCTGTCCTAGAAAATTAAAGGACAATGGTGTTGAAACCGTTGCATCATTTACACGTCCGTGTGCTGTAAATTTATGTACATGTATTATGTAAAATAATGGCAGTATTCTACAATTAAAGTACACATTTTATGTGACCTGCCATTTCAAAACCAGACTAAAGAATTATAAGGTATAATCTGGAAGATGATACCAAATAGACACATAAACAATGCCAAATCCACAATGCCAAATCCACAACTTGCATTGATCTTTACTACCAAAGCTTTCTACAGACAAATTGTTACTTTGGATCACTTTGAGGTCTGAAAGCCAGCAGTGGTGAAGAAGAATTGTCAAACATCAAAATTACCTATTGAAGCCTGGTTTTGGAATAGTCAGTCACGTAATGTAGTACTGGATTCATAGTATGTATTTTTTACATTAACCGTACTGGTCCTCAATCCTTAACCCATTTTCAGTCCCCCAACGGTCGAAGGATTGAGGACTGTTGGGCTTAACTTACAGAAGTAACCCTTTCTTTTACGTGTAAATGTGCTGTTAAATGTGGGATAGTTCTTCTGTTACAACTTAAATTTGTCAGTCTTAACCATCACAATTAATATTACTAATACTAATCAGCACTAGTCTTTTCTCACAGAAAACCAAACAGAAGTTGCTGTCAGGCTCCCTTGCAGGTAGGAATCTTTGACACTCCTCTCTGTCTTCAGGGGTTTGGTTGTAGCAGGTGTTAGAGCTTGTTTGTAAGATCCTTTTTATGCCTTTAAATTGACTCAATTATATAATATGCTGTGTCTAAATTGTTTTACAGGTGTGATTGCAGTACTGTTCACATATCCACTTGACATGGTCAGAGCAAGATTAGCTTACCAAGTGCAGGGAGAGTGTTTATACAGAGGCATTTTGCACACTTGCCGGTCCATATGGCATGAGGTGAGATGCCATGATGAGCACACTAATCTTTCCGTCATAATTATGAACGTTTGATAGCACACCTTCAGGTTTTTGCATGCTTCCCCTGAGTGTACTGTACCTCTTAATCAGGTATATTATGTGACGTGGATAAGCCCTGGTCCCAAAATTCAGACCCCTTTAGCCTTACTGTGGCAAAGCCTTTTTTCTAAGAGCTAGATTTCTCCCGCTTATATCTTTGTAACACTTAACAGGAGGGCCAACTTAGAGCACTATACAGAGGAGTCGGTCCAACGCTATTAGGAATGGTGCCTTATGCTGGTAAGTGGTCCAAGCTAGATTTTGTTGGTGCAAATGTGCATACCCATCTGTGTCATGTTGGTGTGAACTAAAGGGGATCTTCATCACTAGAACAGTGAGGGCATATCACACGTCTTTCGTTCAGCTGAGATGGTGTGTCTGTGATCCTTCCAAAGAACTCTCACAAGATCTCGGGAATCTCACAAGAATCATGCTTCACACCAGCTTGGAAACAGAAAGCTGAAAACCAGGAGGTTTTGGCATCTGTAGTAGGACAGTCTTATCTTCATAGTTACACCATTGCCAATCCTGTATCCTGCATGTCTTCAGGTGCAGCTTTCTATTCATATGAAATGGGCAAGGCCTACGTCCTAGTCAAGGGGCCCCTCTACCTATCCAAGCCATCTCCGGCCAACCTCCAGGAAAGAGTGCTGACTGCACAGGCCAACCTTTTCATCGGTGGATTCGCCGGGGCATTTGCTCAAACTATTGTGTAAGTTCAGTTATTCTCAGGTAGAAAGCATGCCTTGATTTACCTCTGTGCAAACTCCTTCCTCGATTTTCAGAAAGTATTAGAGAATATTCGTCGGACCGTGTCTTGAGAAATCACGTGTGCTGGGAAGATACACTGGTCATAAAACATGCAGCATCATTGATTGTAGTTGAGAGTAATTACATGAAGAGTAGTTATGCTGGCGGTTTGAATGCTATCGCCTGGATTGCACTCAGCCTTGCCTTGAATTCAGTTAGATGGGATCGTAGGAGCCATATGGGTCATTCCTTAAATTTTGAGCACCGATGTGATATTTTCACTGTCGCTGTTACACCTGGCCTTTGTCATTTGTCAAGGGATATATCACTAAAATTGACTTCGAACTGTAGTATTTGTTTGGCGGGTAATTGCATTACTTAATCACTCTTGGAAATTTAAGAATGTGTTCTGAACTCACAAAATTATATGCCAGATGTGATAGGGACAGGAAAAACTTGGACCCCAAATGAACAGATTAGCCCCATGTGCTGAAGGCTGAAGGTTTTCCATTGTTCATTGCAGATATCCCCTGGATGTTGGAAGGAGACTCATGCAGCTAGGTGCCATGGTACCCAATGCCAATCCGTCCAGGTAATCACAGGCAGAGGTTGTTTGTGAATTTTTTTTTGTTTCTTTTAGGAGTACTTTTTAAAATGTTCCAGTGAATGTAGACTCCTGGTATAAATGAAAAGATGAAACGCATAAGTCGAGATTGTTGTCCCTGGAGCCCGTGTTGGCTGACATTTTTGTGTTCATGGATGATTTTTATGATTTTGTCTCTTTTAACAGTTCATGCTTGGAGACCCTGGTCTTGGTTTACACCGAGCGTGGCACACAAGGACTCTTTCGGGGCGTTAGTATCAATTACTTGAGAGCTATACCTGCAGCAGCCGTGTCGTTCACTCTGTATGAACATCTCAAACAGTATCTTAATATCCATTCAGACGAGAGGTGATGAACAGCATTGTTATGACCCCCTCACGAGGAACGACACAGAAATATGCAGGGATTTTCTGCGTCGTAACACAGATTCTGTAGCAGTGCCACATGATGTCTGTGTTCACTCCAAGCTTGGTTGATTCCTGCTGAGCTTGTGCGCGCGCCATACAGAGGCTCAAACCTGTCTGCGGAGGTTTGAGCATGTGTGGAGCCCTCCAGCAGCAGCGGACCACGGATGGGTGTTACAGCAAATGTCATTTCATGTCGTCACCTCCGAGTTCCAAGAAAGCGACGACACAGCAAGAAATGTCACACAAATCTTGAACAAATTACCACCTTGGGTCCACATTCGTGAAGTCCAACTTTGTAAAGGAATGCGGTGGTTGGTATCTTCTCGGTTTAAAAAGTCAGCATTTTCTGCCCAAAATAACGCTGTTCCTCGCGACAAGTGCGATGTGGAATAACAAAATCGGTAACTGATCAACCCTCCTGTACTTAGCCCAGTTCTTGACTGAAGACCCCTCTATGTGCCCTGCAGAGAAATACTGCAAAGGCTCGTGTCTCGGCAAATCCTACCACTCCGATTACTTGCCTTGTGTGGTAACTCTGTGGGTGAAATTGGAGAGGGGCAAAACCTGAAGACATGTTGACAGTTGAAAGATTTGGAAGGTTAAGGAAGGCTAAGTAATAAGTTATTTCCCAGTCTTTAAAAGAAGTGACACAAATGCTTATTTTACACTCTACCTTTTTATGCTCATTTTATGGAGTTAAAATTTCCTTTACACGTTGGCAAAATAATGTCAGAGGGGTGTAAAACATTTTATCTGGAGGCGACAAATCTGTGGATGCTCAAAGTTATTAGAGGGGCTCAACAGACTGGTTGGGAAAGTTTCAGGCTGGAAGGTATTTGAAAAGGGGTACCAAAGCCAGTGACCTGAACCTACAGGCTGGCTTTCTTGCCGAAGATACCTAACTTATTTAATTCTTGTGATTTTGATAATTGATATTTTATATATTTTTCTAAGATTCACTGGAATCCACAGAATCTGTGTTAAGTGGGAACACGATTGGCCATAGAGGCACATAATTGAGCCTCCACGAAGGGAGTTTTTTAATATTTTACCGCCAATGTTTGCCTATTTTGTAATTAACGACGATCATGAAAGGCTGTGTTTGTAATGCGGCACGTAATGTGACTCGTCTCCATGCTTTTTATGCTAAAGAATATCACAAGGGAAAGATTGTGTAATTTGCAGACAGCAGCACTATTGACCATTATTTATTACATACATGTATAAAATAAAGTGCAATAATCACTCAAAGTGGTAAAGCCTGTTACATGTGTGCATAGATATTTTTACACTTGCCGTTGACATTACAATAGAAGAAGGTCCTGCAGCATCTTGCTGGTTAGATGAACAAATTCAAGAGGTCATGCCTTCCAACTTGACCAGTCCAGAATCACGTACTTAATGTCTGCAGGGGTGAGGAGCAATTGCATGTGCGCAGTGTTTGCTGTGAAAAATACTCTAGACTGCATCAAAATCAAAACGGACCTAAAACAATGACTTCCAGCTTTGTTAACATGAGTTTTCTTGAGGCGGTGCGATGAGATGCAATCCGTGGAATCAACGTACGAAAGCGCACAAAGCATGATGTCATGTTAGTGCAAATGTGCATTTCACTTCAATTCTGAATCGGGAGTTGTGACCTAAGACTACCCCCCCCCAAAACAGATCACATCAAGAAAATCACTGGGAGTGCACCATACCACTTGACTGCAGCTTAAGAGGCTCAGGTCACAACTTATTTTATTCCACAGGCATTGATTCCCCTTTTTTCTTCAGTCCTGGAATTCACTTTTTTGGCATACACATTTGTAATTATTTAATCAAGCTGATTCATTTACCATTACCCAAGATGGCATGTTCCACTGGTTTGTGCTTGGGCCTGTGTTTGACCCATACATGTTATATAAGTTCATTTTATAACTTGCCAACATGGCAGTTAATGATAAGGCACTAATTTTGATTTTATCGCCAATGCTTTTAGGTGTACTTGACATTGCATAGGTGCTCAGTACGCATTTTTAAATTCCATTAATTCGCCCCCCTTTCCACCTACGGTGTTGGGGGGAAAAGAGAAATGAAAAAAAATCCCCAATTTATTTGAAAAAAACTTGAAAATTGCACCCTTCCACTTTTAATGGGTTATCCCTTCAGTGTTGGGTGCCTTGTTACTGTACCCTGGAATTGTTCACCCTGTAAAACTGCTTGTCCGCCCCCTCCCCGTAAGAATCTTGGCGACGCCCATCCTTAGTAAAAAACAGCCGAGAAAGGGTGGTATGTTGGCTCAATTCCACGTACAGTGTACTAGCACAATAATCAATGTTGAATCCAGGAAAATTTCCGGGGGGGGGTCAGACAAGTTTTTTGTGGACAAGCAGAAATGGTGATGGGACTACATGACATATGTTTACAATGATATTGGTGCGCTTTAGTTATTTTTGATCATTTTCCCAATTTTTGTCTTCTTTTTTAGAGCGGGGTTCGCCCCCCGCCCATCCGCGCCTGACAGTAAAGCACCGACGAAAATAAATTTAAGGGGAAATATCCACAATCCTAGCAAGTAACCATTGGAAGATTGGAAGTTTAATTTCTCCCTGAGATGGCGTCACAGTTTTTTCTCATACTGATAGAAACTGGTAGGAGCATGAAAATAAATTAATTTTAAAAAATTCAAAAGGCAAGAAAACACCTTTTAAAATAACCAAAATGTAGAATAAGGTTAAATGAAATGCAGTGGTGCAATTGTTTATATGATTGGATTGCCCCTCTAAGTTGTAGCCTGTCGATCCCAAAGGTTTCCAATAATGGTGGAGTGTGTCCAAACTGTTGTGGCTGCGGCTGGAAATAGTATATGTACCTATGGAACCCGATGACGAGCGACTAGTCACTTGCCCGTGGCGCATGCATTGCTCCATGCGCTTGTTGCCGTAACCATTCGATTCAACCCAGACTAGACTCGACTAGACACGATCGACCCATTGTTTGTGAAAACATGGCAGACATGGCGGACAGTGCGAGTGCTAGCGAGATCGAAAGCGACACGGACAGCATGAAAATGTGCATCCCAACGCGAAAAGAGGAGCTGCTCAATAGAATTGCTTCTCTGGAACAGGAGAACAGGGTTTTGAAGATTGAGCTTGAGACCTACAAGATGCGCTGCAAATCCCTTCAAGGGGAAAATCGTGACCTGAAACGGGCGAGTGTGAATATCGTGAGTAACATTCATTCAGGCTCATGTCTATCTGACTATGACTACTGTCATGACTGTACATTATGTGTACATGACGCAGACATACATGGTGTAGAGCGTACTCGTAATAATGCATGTATGTAATTTGTAAATAACCTTTAGCCATCAAATACATGTACATTCCACCCCGTCAGTTTGTTGCATCTAGCTACTTATGCACCTTTCCTTAGGAAAAGCAAACAGCTCCTTCAAATTAGGGATCGGGAAGCAGTTTTTGCATGTTCAGAATAAGCCAATTCAGTCTTTCGTTCGCATAGGCCTATGCGCCAACTGGCCTTGCCAACCCATTTTTGGGACACTTTGCACTCTATAGCAATGCACATGTTCGCACCAAGTAGTTTTTTGACTTCCCATTCTGGTTTGGATTTCTTCGAAAGTAAAAGATGTTCTATAGCACCTGTGCCTGGACAGTCTGGGGATATAGGCCTAGGCCTACATGAAAGGTGAATAAAGAATCACCTAAATATTTCAAGTAAAAAATTCGTGTTAACTGCCGAAAGTTGAAAATAAATTAAACCTCACTCATTCGTACGCCAAGTCTATGCTACACCGTACCGCTGGCTACATCTACACCACATGGGTTTGCTTATCCAATTTCTATCCCACAATTCCTTGAGCACCTGAAACTCTGATTTGGCTTATTTACAAGCCCCCCCATGTTGTAACACTCGTGAACAACATGAACGTGTAGGCCTATTTGCCAGGTTCACACTCCCTTCACCAAATATTAGGTTAAGGGTGAATAGGCCTGTGGTCTTACGTAATTAGATGTGTCAGGTTTTTTTTTAATTCCCAAGGAGAATCTAGGCGTTTCAACCCAGGGCCTGCCTGGGAAAGAACAGGTGCCATGGGTACATGTACATGTTTATTTCAACTCGATGAATACCTTGCCATCGTAAACATTTTTGTGACTGTACTTTTTTTTTTCATGACGAGCCTTCAGCCTCGGGAGTTATTCAAGTAATGTCTTGACACAGATTTTATAAAAATCGGGTCCCAGTCACCAACTTTCCCCAAAGTCCAACGTGCATAAGGCCTTGAACTACAGTGACCATAGCAACAAATGTCTCTGATCTCTATGATGGACTGAATTTTAAACTCCACAGATATACTCGGTTGTACTTCACTGCTTGCAAAGTTTTCAAAAGATGAAAAGCAGAGATCGAAGGAGGCAGATTTTGCCCATTGATTTCTCTGGAATTCCTCTAAAAACTTTCAAATAAAAAAATGAAGGAAAGAATTTGTATCTTGACTCCACTTCAGCAGCTGTGTTGTGTGCAACGTCTGTGGGAGGGTCAAAAAATTTTGTATTTCCTAATAAAATCGGACATTTTTCTCTGTCCCAGATTCATGTCTTTTGGGGATTTATGCAGTGACTTGCGTTCCATGAAATTGATGTATGATGAAAACGAGTGGAGGCAGGAGAAATATATTCTCTCCAAAAAGGGTTTGAAACTTTACAGACCCCTTTTCTACAGAAATACTGGTCAAATGTGGGTCAAGCTTTAATGAATCATGCTTATGTCATTCTAACAATGTCTTTCAGCAAGCACAAGCAGAACAGGAAGAGGAGTTTATCAGCAACACACTCCTGAAAAAGATTCAAGCCCTGAAGAAAGAGAAGGAGAAGCTCGCCGTCAACTACGAGCAGGAGGAAGAGTACCTCACCAATGACCTGTCCAGGAAACTCGTCCAGGTATGCCAGAGGGAAATCACCTTGCATTAAAGAGAAAGTAGCCATGGCATTGTGAACTTGCGCAGGATCGTGCGGGATTTTAGCATGTGTACAAAGATATCATTTTTCACTCAGACTGGACAGAGAGAAAGTCATTTGCAACATAGGTCCCCTGGTGCAAACTCATCTTTGAAGCCAGGATGTTAGGTTACCAATTTGTGCAGTATCGCCAATGTCAATTTGAGGGAGATTTTAATAGGAAAGTTTGAGTTGACCCCCGCCCCCCAAAATAACCAGCTTCAGACCAAAGCATGACACATATCACAGTGTGATGTTTCATTTCATGACAAGTTCTTACAGATTTTGTGTGTGATGTATTTGCACAGTTAAGCATATTTGCTAAACACTTTTGGCGTTCAACAGATATGAACCAATTCCCTCAAAATTTTAAATTTCCTCTTTAGCAATGAGATAAGTCAGAAGTGTATACCTACAGTTCTCCACTTCTGGTGAACCTGCAGCGTCAGATCTATACATGTTGTGTTCTTTATATCATCATGTATCGTTCATGTACTGTAGATTAGTGGAAGCAATGCAGAAATGAAGTGATGGTAAAGCTGTCCATCGTCCCTTCTTATAGTCCAGTTTTTTTTTTAAATCACATGTTATTTAAATTTTCATTATCATCGAGTGAGGCCAATTACTCTACTGTAACCCAACAGCATACAACGTCAACGACTCATGTTTAGAAAAGTTTTGAGATTCTGAGATTCGGTTTTGAGATTCACTCGAGATTTGTCCCCCCCCCCATGTGCAGCTTCGTCAGGAAAAGCATCAGCTCGAGAGAACGCTGGAGCAGGAACAGGAGTACCAAGTCAACAAACTGATGAGGAAGATTGAGAGACTGGAAAATGACACCGTCTCCAAACAGAAGAAACTTGAAGAGGTACGTGTACCACCAAGAACTTGGGAATTAATTTGATTCCTGGCGGTCATTCATTGGTCCGGTCAGACCTCTACCCCTTGTATGATGGAGCTTTTGTTGTTTTCTTATTGACCTGTTGATTGCATCCACTTAAAAGTACATCAAAGTTTTCTACCTGTACATTTATGTGTAGTTCTCTGAAATCAGGTATCGCAGTATATCTCTATGAAACTGTGTTGATTTTAGGCATGAGCTTTCTGTCTTTTACTTTAAGAAATACATCAGATATTAGTAGTTAATCCCTTGAACCTGTGTGGAACAGAAAGAGTTTGCTAGTCTTCGTCCAACATACCCCAGTGCCAAAGGAAAAGTATAATGTGAGATGTGAAAACACTAATTTGTGCACAGCTCTACATTTTTACCCAAGCTCAAAATAGCACAGTACATGTACGCGGAACTGAGCACAGTATGCAAAATTACAGTGTAGACCGTGCCTTAGGGTGTAATACCACACTGTCATTGCCATGGATTGACCAATCAGAATCCAGAATACAAGTTGGACATGAAGATCTAATTGCCCCGGGGATCCTTCACATGTAAGTGAGCCAAAGCCAAGTGCCCCGTGTTTTTCATTGCTTTCCTGCTTGTTTGAACGAGGAAGACATGATCCATCCACTGGAAAGTGACACTGCTTTGTACTTGACACTCTGGGGATGAGAGTTGCCAGTCACCTATGAGGACACTGTTTTCCGCTCAGTTTTTATGTGACACGCCGTACAGCGGCTCAGGACTGTGACACCCACGTTCTTGTTTGTTGCAGTTGAGGAGAGAGAAGGTGGATCTAGAGAATTGTCTGGAGCAGGAGCAGGAAGCGTTAGTCAACAGACTCTGGAAGAGGATGGACCGGCTGGAAGCAGAAAAAAGGTCAAAGGGGGGTTTTGTGCGTGTGATTCACCCGTTCATACCTGCCTGCCAACCGTCGCGATTTATTCGGGACTGTCGCAACATTTCCATGAAAAGGAAAACAAAAAGTGAATGAGAAAGTCCTGGCAAAAGAGGGCGCTGTTTGCGGAATAAAGAGGACACTGTTTGCTATGTCAGAATGGCAGTTGTAGCACAAGTGCATGTACATGTATGTATATGTACATGTAAATAGCTTTTCTAACGCAGCTGCGTGTTTCGCCGTGTACCCATAAAGCGGTTGTTCCAATTTCTGACTTTCCAATGTTGGCATTTTTCATATGTATTCGTACTCTACGTGTTACATGTTGCTCTCCAGAAAGTTACTCACAACATGCACGTGTACTTAGATCTCCGAACTCATGTAAGCAGAGAAAAGATGACTGATACATTACTTAGCGCAAATGCAGTGCCAATAGAACAGCATGTGAATGCTAAAGTATGTACATCGTACACGCACCTGATTTTCAGTGGATCACATAGTTCCGGTTGCATGAACCTTTTGCGGACAAAGTTGTGTGAATGCAAGTTTACCCCACTCTGAAAAACATTTTTAGAGGCAGTTTTACCTTTATTGTATCACCATGGATTCATTCTTGTGGTTTTGTTTTAAGGCTAAATTGTCAGATGAAGTTGCAAGTTCTGAAGTTTTACTCATGGTTTGAGGCATTTTGTTTCATAAAATAGTTCCTTTCATGTTTAGAATGCTGCAGGAAAAGTTAGATGAACCGGTTTCAGCCCCAGCCTCGCCCAGGGAAATCAAGAATGGCAGCACCACCGATAACTTGAGTGTTTATGTCGACCAGCTACGCAACGAAGTCCGCAAACTCAAAGGCCAGCTGATGTCCGCTCAAATTGAACGTAAGTAGGGCTGCATAACATCTCAAGGTAACCAATGTCTCATGGTGTGCCAGATACATTGTCAAGCATTCAGGAACGCAGTCTTCCAGGCACAAACGTAGCCATGTCCCAAGTTTTAGGCAGTGTCCAAAATGGATTGCCAGAGCTACGGCTATGTCTGCTGTCAGTGTGTCTCTGTGTATTTCCATTGGAGCAAGATCCAGACCTAGCTCTAAGTAACCAATGTAGATGTAGCCTTAGGCACTTTGGAGCAAATACATGTACATGTACCTTTGGTGGGAACCAGAGATCCGGATACCGTAACTGTGAAGCGGACGTAAGCCTATATTGTATGTAATACTGATATTAATTTGGATCTGAACCGTTTGGGTTTTGGTATATGGATTACATGGTCAAAGGTGGCCCTTTTTTTAAAATGTTCGAATGTACATTGTGCGGCCATAGCAAATGGTTCAAATCTGCATGTACACCTATATGAAACTGGTCAGATGAATTCAATTTCATGATGGCTTTCTCACTGATCAGATCAAGAGAAGATGGCTCACTTGGTACAGGAGGAACGAGAGTTCAAGGAGGAGAATCTCCGCCTGCAGCGCAAGCTCCTGCTTGAGCAGGAGAGGAGGGAAGCCCTGAGCAGGCACCTGTCGGAGAGCGAGTCCAGCCTGGAGATGGACGACGAAAGGCAGTTCAATGAGATGGCTGTCCACGGCAGTCTGCGGCCGCGGACGATCTCAAGCCCCATCCCATACTCACCGAATCCAAACAGGCCCATTTCTCCAGGTATGCGAATCAGTCGTTCGATTAATCATTCTATTCACTGCATTTGTTTTTTTTTACTCGTCGTTTATAGTCATAAAGTATTTCTGGTAAAGAAACCAAGGATTCCTCAAACGTGTCCTGGGCACTGCATCTCACAGGCCTGAAGAAACCTGTTAGAGACTAGACAATTAGAAGCAGTTACAGTTTTAGAGGTGGGAGGAAATCCCAGAATCACAGAATCAGGTGGGGACTGAGACCCAATCCACATGTGGACTGGGTCAGGATCTGGCAGCCAAATCCAACACACATGTGTCATGTGTGTTATGTTAATTTAATGGTGTCTGTGAAAGTGAAACGCATGAACGCATTGTTTGGCAACGCACTCTAAAAATGCACATATGGAAAGGTGCTTTAAAACTGGCCAAGCACATATTTGTTTCCTTTGTAATGACCGGCTGAGTCGAATAGACTTTTGTAAATAGGTGAGCTTTATGCATCACATGTACAAACACTGCATGGAAATTGATTGATCTGATCCTTGTACCAGTTTCCTGTATTGTTGTTCATGTGTAGTATTGGGTACCTTCCTTTGAATATTGTTTTGTTTTGGGTTTGTTTTTTGGTGTGTATATTGGTTTGTTTTGGTTGTCTTTGTCTTGTGTCTGTTTTTGGTTTAGGTTTGGTTTATGGGTTTTGGTTAAAGGTTGGTTGGTTTCTGGTTTGCAGTTTTTCGTTTAGGGTTTCTGGTTTGTTTGCGGTCGATCCATTTTTTGACAAATTTGGACTGGGGTATAGGGACTGTGTGGTTTCTCCTACGGCATTTTGGTTCCAATACAGGCAATTCACAATAGTGCGCCATCAAGAGTTTGTAACGCATTGGCCAATCACGATGCGTGAAATCTGTCAACCCAATGCGCGTTCGGAAAGGGTTGACAAAGTTTGTGCGTTCTGATTGGCCAACACTTTGCAGACTCTTGGGGGCGCACTCTTGTGAATCACCCGTATTACTGTTGCATAATTCTATGTTGTACCCTTACCTGTACATGCATCTACATGTGTGTCTGTAGCCCACGTACATGTATCTACATGTGTGTCTGTAGCCCACGTACATGTACATGTATCTACATGTGTGTCTGTAGCCCACGTACATGTATCTACATGTGTGTCTGTAGCCCACGTACATGTACATGTATCTACATGTGTGTATGTAGCCCACGTACATGTATCTACATGTGTGTCTGTAGCCCACGTACATGTATCTACATGTGTGTCTGTAGCTCACGTACATATATCTACATGTGTGTCTGTAGCCCACGTACATGTACGTTATGCATCTGTAGACCTTACCCACATTGAGAGGGCAATTTCATTTACTAGGAATGTCGGGACGAAGGGTGTGGGAAGAAGAAATTCTTTCCTCCAAGAAATTGTTGGTCCCCATAACATCTGTGTCAACATATGAGTAAAACGATTGCAGTTACACCATGGATCAATCTCTTTCTTGAATATGTGTGGTTCTGAGAAGAACCATGTGTCAACATGTGTCTTGTCCCCATAACTTGGTACAATGATGTGTTTACATGTGAGGAATTAGATAAAAGGACAATACAGGTGCATGTAGGTTCTGAATTGGCCCGTTGTCTTCAACTGGAGTTTGTGCACAGAACAAATGCATGCCTTGCACGATCCTGTTCCTTGATTTTCTTTGTGAAATTTCATGACAGTCAGCAGACCTCTTTACCAAAAACGTCACACTTTGTTCACGCATGAGCTTTCCTACAGTGCTCAGTGACCATAGACCCCCACTGGCTCTGTAGGAAAGTGCTTATGTAAACAAGATGTGACATCATCAGTACAGAAGTCTGTTGAAGGGCCTCAAGTTATATTGATTCATGGCAGCTGTTGATTCATGTTGCATAACGTTGATCATTCTGAAGAGCCTTCATTACTGTTATCCCACATCGCAGCTAAGATATCCTCCGATCAGCCAATCTTCCTGTATGTCACTTCTCACGTACCTGCTCGCCATTACAATTTAAAACAACATGGTGCAGTATCTTGTACAGTTGCGAATTTCCTTGTTTTTTTCCCCAAAACTCCCAGTTGTATGCCTGATCTTAGCATGTGCATGCACATGTAGTTTGCATATTTGCAGAGAAAAGATATCATTGTTACAGTCAAAACAGCATACATGTACCGATACATGTATGTATGATAAATCAAAGTCTATGTTGAGTGGACACTTTTGACACATCCCATTTGATACGTACTGTGAGTATGCATGTTGTCACTTTTCTTTAACCCTAACCCCCTCGGCCCTTTTTACTAGGGAACCCCTCAGTCCTCCAGAATCCTTCAATTTGGGGGGGACAAAAAAATTGGATTCTCCCTCAATCGTCCGAAATCCTCCAAAATTTCTTGAAAATGTTACTTGGAGGTGTGCCTACTGCCTCAATCCTTCAAACTCCTCCAGCAATTCCTGTCATTATAAGAAAGATCGGGCTGAATTTATGCATGACTAAGCAAAAACAACACAAGGTCTAACCCACGACCTTCACTCATGGCATCCTTTGACATCAGCCATGCACTTCTGCCATTCACCCTCAATCCTCCAAAATCCTCCAAAACTGCCCAAAGGATTTTGGAGGATTGAGGAAGGTTAAGGTTAACAGTGTATACATGTACATGTACATCACATATAGTGGGATTCAAAGCAAACCCGTTGGGGTGTAGCTATCTGATGTACTTGTATGTATGTTTCTGATATGAGCCGATGCACATGCTGCACATTGCATGATGAGTGATATCACCTTTACGTTTGTTTTACTTTTTCTATTTTTTGCATTTTTCCTTTGCCTTTCCAACTTTCCTTTTCCCCCTCCCTTCCAACCTTGTCTGTTGCTCCCTTTTCCCATGCGACTCACTCTGCCTGCTTCGTGTACGGCATCGTATGCTGTGTGCGTGTGTGTACATGTGTGCTGATACCATCTCAACAATGACCACACCATACTGACAGCGATGCACACTGCTTTCTCTCCGTCGTCACCAGCGAGCCGGAGCACGCCCTTTGCCGTGGGACCCCCCAGTCATCCCTCGCCGATCAGTCCGTACGGGACTTCCCCACCTGTTGGGCCGAGCCACTTAATGCATGTGAGTAGTTGAAGCTGGTTGTCTTTTTCTTCTACTCTGGGGTGCAGATTGTGGTTTGGCATTTGTTCAAAAGTCTTTGATGGATCATTTACTCCTTCACCCCAACCCTTCATAATGTGTCGGTCAGCAAATATCATTCCAGTCAGGATTACCTAGATCTATAAGGATAAATACAGTACATGTACTTGTACATGTATAAAGAGATACAGACCTGTAGTTGGTATGTTTTAAGTGGCAAGTCTGATTTTAAAATGTTGATACTTCGCCTTTCACCGCATATGATCTAGTACCAAATCTAAGCGAGCGCTCAGCTTCAAAATTACAGGGTTGAGATTTCTCCAACCTCCATTGGCCAGTGTACCCATGCAGAAGGTATTCGTGTGTGATGATTTTAAAATGCTTGCAACATATGCACATACATGTGTAGGGTGAATTGCCTAATTTTGCCCCTGTTTACCCCCTTCAGATGGGCTCCACACCTCCATCACAGGGTCAGGTAAGATTGATGGCCCCCTGCTCTTCTTTACCTCTCATCCGCCAGACTACATGTATATCCCCTCTAATTTTTTCCCCCATGCGCTCAAATTTCCCCTGTATCTTCCTGTACATGTACTAAATTGAAAAACCTCCAAAAAATAGACTAGTTGTCTTCCGTATTTCTGTTTACTACTGCTTTTAACCCTAACTACCCCAAGCCCCTCAAACTCCGACCGTAGGTTTTTTGTCAAGTTTTGGCTGATTCAGCACCATACATGTACGTTACGAACTTGTGTTCAACGCTGTTGGATCGGGGAACAAAGGCCTAGGATGATGGTGTTGGATTTTGTGGGAGTTGGAACACGCAGAGGTCGTTCCCTGGAGTGACTGGCTAGTGGCACCATGTGTCTTACTGTGTCTGCTTTTGACAGGTTTTATGCAGCTGTGGTGCAAGTGATCACTCTACTGCACAGTCCCACACATGTTTCTGTATGACTCAAACTTCAATAGTGTTGACATACTGGAGTTTAATCAGCTTTGTGCGCATGTGTACCCAATTTCACAGTGCCGCTGAGCACACAGTATTACGCCAACAGAGGCTCCTCGTATTTCATGGAGACCGTGAGCAGTAAGCATGGCAAAAGACACTCTTGTCTCGGAGGAAAAATTTGCTTACCGTGGTGATGTAACAATGGCCATGCATTTTTTGAACCAAGCATAGCAACTGTGTAATTATTCGCCGGGAAATATGCTTACCGTTTTTTGTGTTATGGTTAGCAAAATTATTTACTTAACAGGAAGCAGCGCCGTGAAATTGGGCCCTGCTCTTAGATGCATATGTTAAAATTTGTTTCATTCAGTACTGTTTCTATTTCAGCTGCCCAGGGGGTTATGATCAATGAGTGACAGGAATTCTTACAGATTCATAGATGATGACAGATTGTATTTCCAGCCCCTCCTCCCCCCCTCAAAAAAAGCAATCTCTTAACGAGCCCCTTGTGCATGTATGGTGAAAGTACAATTTCAGTTAAACAAAAACTGGGACTCTCTATAAGAACAACACTGCCTGCCACTGTTTTAGCAAATGGCACTTACTGTAAATCAAAGATGCAATCAAATATGCAATCAAATATGCCCTTTTGATGCATGTAACAAGTCCCATGTCTCGCTTCAGAACAAAAGTAGAATAGGGTTCATTAAAAAAATGTCACAGGTGACCGTATTTTTCTCAGGGATTTGTTTATCATTGCAGGAGTAGGTAATTGTTTAATTGCCAACCGTACGTAAACTAGACCATCAGCCCTAATACCTTCACATAAAACAGTTCTTTATTAAATAGCATTAGGTGCCCTGTACATGGTGGTCGTTACCTTTGCTGATCCAACACCGGATGCTGGCTTGTGTTTTCCTCATACATTGTGCCATTTATTGAAGGTTTGAAGGCTTGCCTAGTGCCTACAGCCTGAATACTGGGCCATTCCATGTCAAGTCTCCCAAAATGTTCTGAAGCTTAAATCCCACCCCCGATATTCTTGCCTGATGAAAATTGCATCCGACATGGCGGCCCCGAGCACAAACGCTTTTGGTCCAGTGGGGCTGGAACTCGACGTTTCAACCTTTTCAGCCACAATTACCGCGTACATGTGACATGTGATACATGTGAGCCAAACTGAATGGGACGGGCTCTAAAAACCCCTTGGGTGATTTGACACGGAACAAATCTACTGTGTGCTGCACCGCGGTCTGCTTCTAAATGACAGTGGTGTACACATATGTACATGTACCTGTTTGTCCCATCAAGTGTATCCTATATCTCCTCATTATAAACTAGTTCTTTTGTCCCTTGAAATCTAACATGTGAATATGAATTAACATATTCAACCTCTCTCCTTAATTAACACACATGCATATTTATGAATTAAGTAGGCCCAAAGAGTCTGATTGCTTGCCATTTTGATCAGACTGCCTCTGAGAGAAGCGTGAGGCCCAGATGTCTTCATGATCATTTTTGTCATTTATTAAGTACAGGTTCCATTGAAATTATGTTTTATTTGTAGGAGGACTTCACAGCAAATGGAAATTGTCATATGCAAAGCCTCGTTGACCATTTGAACTCCCACATACATGTACACCCACATGTACATGCACATGTAAAGTTTATGCTTGCAGCAAACTGTAAATTTTGCAGTTTTGAATCAGAGGAGTTGATTTATTTATCAAGCGGTTGAGAGCAGTACTTCCGTAACTCTTTTTACCAAGCATCAGTCAAAAAGGAAAACGGTTTATTGCCTTTTCTTAAAGGGAGAAATCGTATTTGTTTTTTTTTTAATTATTTGGCCCTTGTGTGTATTTTGGGAGTGGCACCCCAGAAGGAGCACCTTTACCCGAGAGACATTACAACAATAAAAACCAAAGTTGGTTAATTCTCACCCCTCCCTTGCATTCCCTCAGCAAATGGGCCACCCTTCCCAGTCCCAGCTTCATGTAAGTATGCTTCCTCTGGTCTGATATTACTAACCCACATGCCCCCCAAGCTGTTCCTCAATACGCGTCCAGCTGAGAAGTAACGGATGCTCAAGAAGTAAAGTCTTGCTCTGCCACATTGGCAGCAGAAAAGACACCAGTGTACAACTAAAGAATGTTTTCAGGGGGGATAGTCCATTAAACATTCGTCTTGCTGTTGTTTTTTTGGTACTTGTACAGTCATGTGGGGTTTCACTAATGCAGACTAGTGCATGAAATTTGCCTGTGCGTAAACTCGATATGCGCCAAGACATCGCGCACTTGTGATATCCAGAGTAGGGCCTGAAATTTTTGACTGGTTACAGCACCGTTGTATGATGAGATCAGTGAGCAGCAACTCAAAACCCGAATCTAGGGAAACTAAAGGTGTTCTTTTAATTGTTAAAACGGGCGTTTCACAATAGTGAGCCACCAAGAGTTTTTAATGCGTTGGCCAATCACCATGCGCGAAATCTGTTGGTTCAATGCGTGTCTCGAAAGGATCAACATATTTTGTGCACTGTGATTGGTCAATGCATCGCAAACGCTTGGAGGCACACTCTTGTGAATTGCCTGTATTGCTTTGTTGAATTGGTGTGAGCTAATGGTTGAATTAGAACTGTCCATGTACAAAACCCTGAAACTTTTCTTTTTTTTTAAAATCATTTTCATTTTTGGACAGAGGGGTGTTAGAAAGCACATGGACTGGCATGATTTGGTCACTCATGCATGTTCGTGCTTCTCAGGCCTGTGAGTGACCAAAAGAATGTGCTCTATCCCTTGGCCTTGGACTTCGGGGAATGGGAACCTCTCCTGACAAGCTAGATTCCTCTCGGCTTCGCCCCAGGAACTAGTTTGTCAACTTCCAATACAGAAAGGAGTTAACATCTACTGTCCACCCGAAATAATCCACGTTATATTTGTTTTACCGTACCTCATGCATAGATGCCATTACAATTCCAGGCATCATTTAAAGCGCCCATCAACATGTACGTGTACCGCATCTTTTTATGACTAGCTAGGGCAGTGCTTGAGCATGCGTACTTCAGCCAGGCAGCAGTTTCACTACACTCTTCCCCTGGAACAGTTTAGCACAAGAAGCCTATTTGATTTGTGCATGGATCGTCTCGTGCGCGCCTGGTAAACATCAAAAGACAGTGACTGGCAGTGAACCAGTGGACCAAGTGAGAATTTGGCTTCCAGTTGTGAATATACACTGTATATGAGGGATGGTAACACACAATATCACACATCTCGAATCATCGGTCTCTGATCTCCGAATACTAATAAAAAAAGAATCTGGATTGCTGATTTGCCAATATTCCGGGCTGTACAAATAAGTGACGGGTTTAGAGTACCGAAACGAATACGTTGCACGTTGTGTAAAAGACTTATGCGAGAGAACCGGTACGCGAACCAACATGCACCGTTCACTTGCTAATAAAATGACGTGATGCTTTGGTACATGTACATGTATTGTATAGGGACTGGTTCCTGATCTGTCCATTGGAATGTGCGGAGCGAACTGGTCTAGATCTTTACCATCTTTCAACAAAAATCATGGCGAGTCTGCTGTTCCTTGTAGAATGTTGAGGACAGTGATTTCACATGCAACCGTCGATGGCCTGTCCAGATTTTTTTTTTTTTTGCATGACGATCAGTTGTTCATCAGCCCTTGTTCACACTGATTTTGATTCTGTCTGTTGGTAGAAAGTTAATTTTATAGATTTTTGTCTAAAACTAACTGTGAGGTCTTTGCAGAAACTCTGCATATTATAATTACGTAGTGAGCACATGCTGAAGTTGGACTGTACTTGTGCATGTGGTACCGGGTTCCACTGGGTACCACTGGGCTCCTGGCTATTTCATTTCAACCCAATATATATATATGTGTAAGCTTTTGAAAATTCCAGTGACTACCTAGAAAGACAAACCCAGCATTAATACCCACAGGGGACAATTCCATGCGAAATTGGAAATTTGGTCACACTCTTTCTAACCTCGGATCTTGAGTAACTCTCAAACAAAAAGAGGGTTGTTTAAGACAGTAGGAAGCAGTACCTATAATTGCCTTTATTTGATTGGAAAATGACATTTTTGTAACAGTTCTTTTTGTTTACAAATTGTGATTAATATAACGAGGTCTATAACAGCATGAACCAATTTCCTTTTTTGCATAGAATTGCCCGGGCAGACTTTTTTGAAGAACTTTTTGACATGCAGGTCTCTATCCAGTAATGTTTGATACATAACGTGCATGTATGTACATGTACATTTTTGGCAAGCAATTTTAGCTGGAGTTGAAAATAGATGTGAATAACCAAATCATTAAATGAGAGTTGTTACATGTACAAAAGTCTAGGGCTAAAGATACTCAGATGAAGAATGGAGTTGCATAGTACATTGTACATACATGTACTTAAGCATAGAATTACAAGAAGGTCAAGTTTGTGGTTTGGTTTGGTTAGGTTTGGTTGAGTTGCGTTGGGTTTGGTGAGGTTTGGTTGGGTTGGGTTGGGTTGGGTGTTGTTTTGTTTGGTTTGGTTAAGTTGGGTTTGGTTTGGTTTGGTTTGGTTTGGTGAGGTTTGATTGGGTTGGGCATGGTGAGGTTTGGTTGGTTTGGTTTGGTGAGGTTAGGTTGGGTTTGGTGAGGTTTGATTGGGTTGGGTTGGGTTGGGTTTGGTGAGGTTTGATTTGGTTGGGTTGAGTTTGTATACACATTCAAATTGTGGACCTATAACAATAGTGGACAATAGGGTTCACGGTTGCCAAAGAGTCCACGGTTCGAAAATGTGTACAAAACATATGGGAGGTCTTCTAAAAAAGTTAAAGTATGAACAAAAGAGGAACAATAGGGAGTCCATGATTGAAGGCGTTTACACACTTGGGCTGGGTTGGGTTGGGTTTAGTTTTATTTGTTGCATGTTTTATTTTGGTTTTGTTGCCCTCTGTTTTGTTGTCTTCAAAACCACATCATTCAATACATACCAAAGATGTGTTGGTTTTTTGTGAATAATGCCACTGATTTGCATTTGCAATGGTGGTCATCCCAATTCTGTAGCATCAAACCGAAACTATAACATCAAATTTTGTGTAATATTAACTTCTTCAAAGTCGCCCCCTACCCTATTTTCCCGTTACTGTGCATGACAGTGCATGCCCAGCATTGATTTGTATTAACTAATTTTTAAGAACGTCTTGCCTGGTCACGTAGTGCTTGTCAAAGAAGTGTCCAAGACAAACACATGTCTCTACATGTACAGCGTTTTGTTACACAGTTTGGTTTTATTTTCCCATCGTACATGTGCAGTTTGTTTCCAATTACATTCATCTGGGAGATTTTTAGTTGTAGTTATTCCTGTCGTGAGTGGATATTCTACAACATGAAACTTCAACAGGCCTTGTTTGAAAAAGGAAAATGTGGCCTTTTCAATCCAACAAAAAATCTGTAAAATGGGAGAAACTTTATAATTCTGTTATAATTGGAACAGTGCCATCAGTTGTCTTGAAAAGCCTTGACAATTCGTCTTCGTCTTGAAAGGATGGCATATGTGATTGGCTCTAGAAAATTGGGTAATAAGTCGCCAGATTCAGGTTATGAGTTTTTGATATGGCTGGATTCTGTACATCAAAAGGTACAATTTGATATATGAATGACCCCGGTAGTGCGCAGCATTGCGGAGATATATGGACATTTGTATATCCACATGTTTGGATTCAATAGAAGCACTTTTTGAGAAAAAGCTTTTGAATTGTAGCACTTGGAAACACAATGCTATGTAGGATTTCCTACTGAATGATCAATTTTTCATCTTTATTCATCAATATCCATGATTGTAGTCACAAATTCTGGAAATATAAATATTATAGAAAGTATTCAAGGAAAAAACACCAAATCACATTTTGGAAGAAATGTTGCCCTCTCCAAATAGAACAGGCCATTATGTGTTTTGGCATTGTGCGACTTATTACCCTTTTTTGCAGAGCGGGTCACAAATAGTTTTCACCCATTGGAAAAAAAAAGATTATAAAGATGCACAAAAAGCTCATGTAAGAAGGATTCATCGCATGCATCTTCCAGGTTCACATCATTCTGAACTTTTTGTACTAGTCACTCCCTCTGTGCCAGTTTTGCATGGAACGTATGGTCTTTCCAACTAACACTTGTTTTCAAAAAGTTTGATCTTGAAACATTCTCAAGCTCAGTACACACTGTACAAGTTTGTCAATGTTCCAGTGACAGGGGTAATGCAGGGCAATTATTCCATTTGCATTTTAAGAATAAAGGAGGTGTGTTCTTGTTGTCTTCAAAGGATTGCCACTCTGTTGTAAGCAACAGAGTTGCTGACTCAAGACCTGTGACTTGGACTCGAGTTGAACTCCAGTTGCTATTTTTTGACTTGGGATTTGACTTGTGTATACCAGCTTTGACTTGTGACTTGACTTGGACTTGCATATAATGACTTGTGACATGACTTGGACTTGCAAGAAATGACTTGCTGCCACCTCTGGTGACCGAGTGGATCTTGTTGGAGGCAAAAGGGATTTAAAGGTGCATGGTGCCATTAACATGTCATCAGAACTGCTTGCAGGCATTTTGTTTAACTATTAATTGTTTAACTTTTAATATTTTAACACTCGAATATAGGCTTAAGTATAAAAGCAAATAAACTGTTTTTTCCCACCTCAAGTTTATCGTTTATCAATTGAAACTCGGAAGTTGCATACAAACATAACGTCCATAATGACAGAATTGCCCACGTGTAAATGTCGACCCCTAGAGAGAGAGCATAGAATGAGTGCTACATGTGTAGTCATAGTCGAAGTGCATCTAGCCTTTTGCTACTGCTGAGATTTGATCTTGGTGGGTATATGCACTTGTTATAATTGAGCTGAAAGGCAAAGTGTTCCTGGCACAAGTGACCTGTGATTGCCCAGTCCACCTCAATCTGTACTTCTTCACCAGGGTATTCACTTGTCTGCCCGTGGGTCAACATACATGTACCACATCACATCCGCATTCATTTATTTGAATTGTATAAGTTTGCCATCTTGGTTTTGACCTTAACATGTACGTGTACATCACACAATTTGTGAGACGACCTCGATGTCAGAATCTTTTTCATAAACAGTCCTTGAGTTTTAGCCATAGTTCATTTGTCAGCGCGTTTATTCCGCCTCAGTAGTATTATCAATCAAGACTTAAGTGATATGTCCATCAGATAGCCACATTAAGGTGCATCCTTCCTAGTCATAGATGCCATCAATTGTACCCATTCAGTTGTAAATCGTATGAACATGCATGAACTCTGCAGAGAACACATGCGTACCGTGCAGTGCACCCTTCTTGGCTGTTTTGTCCTTGAAACTGTTTTAACATTTGTGGACTTCAGATGTGGATGGCTGTCATTCTCTAGACTGACCCAATCACGTTGAAAAAAAAAATTCTTTTATTCTGGTCTTGTCCGCAGCGGCACCGGGTCACTGTAGCTACAGCGGGCAGCAATTCCGGAAGCCACAACCCGGAAAAGTTCATCAAGCCCACAGCCCCGACCCCGTAGGGACTGCCCTGCCATTGGAAGAAGGCGGACAACGTGGAGGGGAGAAGGAGGAGCTACCTTGATCTCCTCCTCAGGGAATCGTAAGATGGTCAGTTGACGGGTGGACTCAGTACCCGGGGAAGGGCCAAGGTTGTAACTTGTAATTGTTTACAAATCAGGTTGAAGTTCAGCCGTCTCGAGTAGACGGCAGACTACACGAAAGAATTTGGTTGCCTGAAATCAGTGGATTGTGACGAAAAGGAAGGAAAAACACGGAATTCAATTTTGAAGAGTGCATGCTAAACCCTAACTTGATCTGCACGAGAGAGCCCGTTAATATTTGTGTTTGCAATTTGGCGTAGTTTTTCTTGTGGTTTGCCACTTTAAAAATGCAGTTGTTGACATGTACATAAAGCAAAAAAAAGTGTTACGTGATGCTGTAAAACTGCAGTGGGCGACATCACATTGGGACATGGCAATTTTGCAAATGTACCCTCAAATGAATTGGCAGTTGTGGAATTTTTTGGTGCCTTCTCAGCCTGCCAGTTCTGCTGCAAAAGTAGACTGAGAATAGTTTTAACAAAAGCAGAAAATAATTGCCGCAGGGCAGTGATGGGTCAAGCACCTGTAGAGCGTTCATCCATACATATAAAGCACAATGTAGAAGTGCACGGATAGTCTTGAAGCCGTTGCCCGGGTGCGCATTTATCTACTTGTCGTTGGTCTGAACACAGCATATCATCATTTTGGCTGATTCACGCACTGTCATGAAACTCTTGAATTTGTTCAGCTTTGATATTTTGTTGGGGAAAGAAAAGGTTGGTTCACTTTGCTGGCGGACACGATGTAACAAGTGGCCATTTTCAGAGAACGGCTCCAGAGAGCAGAGGCGAAGGTCAAATGCTGTTTTTGGTTAAAGAAAGTAAAACGAAACCATCCTAAACTAATACTATATCGTCATAATGTGAAATGTCTTATTGATTTGAACATTTTTCCTCATCTTATCAGGAAGACGGCAATATATTACTTACGTGTACACAAGTATGATGGAATATGAGAGATACTTTTAACGAGCCTGTAAAAGCTGTCAAACTTGAAATTGGCCCTGGTTACCCAGTTATTGTGGAGTACAAATATTTAAGACAAAAATATTGTATATATATATTTAAGAGAAATTATATAAGTCTGATTTGAAAAATCTCTGTTTTAGTGTGATTTCAGTGACAAGGCACAAATGTTGATTGCCGCTTTCTGCTCAAAATGGTGAACTTTACACAATATAAAAAGCCAGTCATTGCTTTTATGGTTAGAAAAGTGCGGCCATTTTGGTATTTGCTATGCATGTAGGATTCATTGCAAATGTTGCTCATGTTTAGAGAAGTTTAACTGTTATGGTTCGACTTTGGAGAGTACGTATACTTACTGCCTAAAATGTATGTGTCGTAACAACACTTGAAATCTTTTCCAAGAGTTCATTAACCTGTGCCAGCTTTTTAAAGTGAGCCACTTTGAATTGAATGTTAATGTCTTGATTTATCCTCTCAGAATTGTTCATCTGATTGCATAATACAAGAGTTCTACAATGGCAGTAGCTACGGGTATGACAGGTTTCCTTGGGGCATTAGACAAGGAAAAAATGATTTAGATGAGGAAAAATTAAAGGGGAGTGAAGTGGGTGTCACTGGACACTAGAGGGCACTGTTAACGATACAAACTTTAGCACCTGTTCACGCATTAGCCCATTTGTAGGTCTTTTTTTTTAAATTCAGTTTTTGCTGTCAATCTGTTTTCTGTGTTTTTTAAGGGGTACTTTGGCGTGCCGACCAAACATATTTTTTTGTGCCATTAATGTTTCTGCCCAGAATAACATGACAAATTCTCTCATGAATATTGACAAAATACAAAGATCAAGAAGACACCAAAGTTCCCTTTAAAATAGCAGAAACATAAAGTGCTTTAAAGATAAAGATGGGATAAACATGTACATGTATGCCGTGAGATATGCTGCGGATAAGACTGTGAAGGGATGTGTGTTCTTTATCCAATCAATCAGGATCAAGTTGTGAGGACCTAGGTGTACATGGGTCTTTGGTCCCCACAGTAACTGTCCAGCACCTGTGGTCCTCACAGCTATGGCACGCAGCAAGATTTTTGAGGTTTGGTGTATCTTGGTAATTGTACACATTACGCAGTACGAGGTAAATGTAAAAATGTCACAGCTGGTTGAAGTATTCTTTAGGCTTTAGGTACCGGTGCTCCATTGGCAGCGGCGTAGCGGGGGGGGTTGTGTTCCAACCCCCCCCCCATAATTCTTTTCAGTCAGCAAATAAAGGGTCAGTCAGCAAATGAAACTGAAATTGACGTCATGAATTATTGACATACATCGACCAGTCGGCAAATTGACCCCGACACACCCCAAAAGAAAATGCCTTTGCTGTGCCGCTGTCCATGGGCCCTACTGTATCCAAGATACATGCCCTTCATAGTGCTGGTTTGCCCCCTCCCCCCTGAACCTCGCATTACATGTTGATGAAGCTGTACAATATAACCTGTGCTTGTAAGCCACAAATCTGCTTGCAATCGCCAGTTTGAAGCTTGCCAAAATCAAAGCTGCAGAGAGAGACGCTAAAACATATCTTGGGTGCTCACGGTTGGTCATAATGGTACATGTACAAGATTTATGGGGCGCACTGTTACACTTTCATGGGCCTTCAGATATCTTGTGGGCACCTGGAATTTTTCGTGGCCCGTAGGTGCATCACATGTACAGTGCCTCCTGTGCTTGTCGGATAACGCGGCTCCGGTGAGAGTACCAAAGGGCAGCTCTCCGTAATTCAGTTCTAGTAATGTCGGAGCCCCGCACTGAGAATTCTGTTCACCTCTAAGCAGCCGGAAGGAGAGCCCCTAAACACTGTCTGAAAGAAGTCTCCTTTACATTAGCAGGCAGTGTGCTTCAAAGTGAAGAGGTTTGTCTTGACGATGTGGCCTTAGTTTTCAGTCAGTAAGCTATATGTGCATATTATTGTAACGTTGTGTGCACGGTTGAGAGATGCACATGCACATGTATCAGATTCTGTCTGGCAGATTGGCTTGGCATGTTTCTTTTTGTTTGCATAGTTAAAAACTTATGTGCATATATGTGTATACATTTTTGTTGTTTACTTAAAAATACTGTCAACATCAGAAAACTAAAATGTAGGTACCATGCGTTCGTATTTTGTCGGCAAAATCACTACTTAGACACTTAATGAAATCATACCTAGCAAAATACATGAGCATGGGTACTTGAAAGAAACCTAATTTTTTGGCCGGACATTATTCAGTATGGTTGTTGATTATTTCCCCAGTATGTCTGCATGTTGTATGTAATTTGTCTGTGTTGAAGCATTGTTCATCTGGAAAGTGGAACCTTAGTCTCTGTAACCCAAATCAGATGAGTCGTTTCTTGGGAGGTTGGAACAGGTCAGTGGTGGGGGGGGGGACTTGAATGGCAATTAGCCACTGCCTGTGCCCCACGAAGAAATGAAATCAATGGGTGTAAAGGAAAAGAGACTTATCGGGCGATGTACAGTGGCCCCCATCAATGGCGGTATGCATTGTGGCAACTACTGTACTCATTGTGTGTTCCTTGACAGCTTTCCATACAAACCCAGCATGGTGCTTTCTACCAGTAAAGGGGGCCATCAGGAATGTCTGGTGAAACGTCGTTGGATTCTTCAGTACCCTTTTATAATGCGAATTTCACCCAAAAAGTGCACATGTAGAGCAAACATAGCAGAAAAGGGCTCACACCGAGACAGCTGGGTGCACGTAGAGGCAGTCAGCCCCTGCCCCTCGGTGTCCCGAGACCTCCAACCACTTCCCCAGTGCTCTTGATATTTTGTTCAGCCCGTGCATTCTAGAGGTAATTCCCTTTTCACATTTTCTCATTGCTCTGCTCGCTAACAGTGGATTGAAGTGGAACTAATAAATCTTTCTTGCTTACCGTTTGTGTTCTCGCAGTCACATATACGTATTACAGTATAAAGTAATCAATGTTGCAGAACTTTCGTTGAAATGATCAGCCGCACACTACAGCGTACATGACTCGCATAGACCACAGCAGCCAAATGTTAACAATATGAGTAAGAATAAAATTAACCGGTTGTTGTTACTTCAGCTTATTTGTTTATTTCAGTGTGTCGGTGTTTGTTGAGTCTGCCAATGCCCTAATGAGCAAAATAATAATAATAAATAACAATTACGACATTTGTAATGAGCTTTACACAACGTTTCAAAGCGCCATTATCATCCCTGCACATTGGGCTCACGCATCATCTGAACATTCCTGAAACCATCTCGGCTTCCTGGGGAGTATACTAGCCCGGTGCTGCCATTTCGACGCAAATGGCTAAACATAACCGTGTCTGCCCTCACAGGTAATCATTTACTCCTGGGTGGAGAGAGGCACATAACGGTAAAGTGACTTGCCCAGGATCACAACACGCTGCCACCAGCTGGATTCAAACCCCTGACCCTATGATCAGAAGCTCCAAACCCTAACCACTAGGCCACACGCCTCCTTGATTTTAACAGCTTAATCCCTTCCAAAAGATGCAATTTATACAATGTCAAATCAATTTACAAAAACACAGCAGCCGGTAAAATTTGAATGCTTTTTAGAATCAGTTTCTGATAGCCAGTTTCACAATGTACGAGCTTCATGTATGAGGTCAAAGTTCAGTGTCTGCAAACAATGAACGATATATTATACATGTATATGATAGTATGAAATAGGTATATATACATGTTGTAAACTGTAGTGTTTATTTGTTTTCCAAGTTGTTCGTTGTTCCCAACAGTATCGGTAACTGCCGTTCATTTGGACCAGCAAAAAATCTGCAAAGAGATGGGCTTTGCTTAATCCGAGGCTGTTTTTACTCAGAATTGGCATGGCAAGTAATGCTCTAGGCAAGCTGTGCTTGAAGATCTCACTGAAGTGCACCAATTGAAGACGGTCATTGAAAAATACGCTGCTTTGCTCATTATCACAATGTCATACGGTGTGGTTTTTAAAAACATATGCAAACAGTTTTTATTCCCAATGTGCCGAAATCAGTACTGCAAAATCAACGCATATAGTGTGAAACTTTGAACAGAATCGCATGATTCTAGAGTTGTGATTCATTTTCAATCTAAGATCTATTCACCAGTACCGAAATTGTTAACTTTTACTGTGATAATGTCATCTCACAATCCAACATGAGGAAGATCATAAGATGTCAGTTGGTGAATAATAACCCCGGATGTCCCAGAATTTGTGATCACACCAAAGGCGAGGGTTTAGATAAGTTTGCAGACTCGCGATGTAGCACTACTGTTTGGACCATTCAAACCATCGCATCGTGTACATGGAGCTCTTGCCGGTCTCGTAACCCCAGCGTGCTAGGGGGACCACCAAGATGCTCGCGTTGTCTTCACTGCCAAACTGCAGGGCTTGGTCGGCCACAAAGTAGGCTGCCGAGGGGGGGTCGTGGCACTGGTTGATGGAGTCGCAGATCTCCTGGTCCGTCATGACCGAAATAATACCGTCCGTCACCAAGACCAGCATGCTGTCTTTGCTGTGCTTGATCTGTGCGTTTGGAATTACCATGAGACCATGATTTAGTCGGGGGGGGGTTGAATTAGGATTCAAAAATAACACTCAAGAAAAAACTGCATTTCAACAAAAGAGTTGATCGAGGCCGATGACCTCATTTGAATAGTGATCAAATTTTTAAGTAAAGTAACTTGGGGAGCAATTGCCTTTCTCCTTATATCCTGGCCTTTGACATCAGTGTCCCTCAAAAAACCAAACAATCAAACATACAGTTCCAAGTTATCTGATCGTGCAATTTCTGCATGCATATCCAGAAAGCAAGAGCATATCCTTGCACCCCACCTAGTTTTTGACACACCACATATTCTGTCCGAGATGCAATCTGGAAAGTAATATTTGACGGGAACTGTCGCAGTCAGTTCCATCCATTCTGGGGCAAGTTTGAGTAGTCACCCTTTGTCGACAACTGGTAAATGTTCCCTGGTAACCTGTATCAATACATGTATATCCAGGGTACCAGGCAAAATTGACCGGCGGATAACAAATACATGTCCTCATCGCTTTAGAAGAGACTAAAATGGAAAACCTATGTTTAAATTTATGATGTACATGTACATTTTCATAGAAATGACGATCCACTTGAGGCTCTGCTTTCTTGGTGCCACACTTGACAGCCTTGCTTGCTGCAGTCATAAAGTACCAGCTATCTCATGCTGGTTGTTTCACCCACCTCTACTGATTTTGTCTCTGGCTGTGCAGTCACGCCGTATCGTTTTAATGGTCCATCGCCTATACTCCGGGTCATTGCTAGTGCACCGTTGACAAGCGGATGGCCTTTGCTATTCCAGCTGTAGACAGACAAAAGTTAAAAAAAAAAACTGACACTGTTAATCAAATTTTGAACTTTAGCCCTATCACGAAAAAGAAAGTGGCATAGATATTAGAGACCGAGTCCGTTTCTTGTAAAAAAAAAAGGTAGTTATTTGTAAGAACAAATACTTTATCGCAATGGTTTGAGGCTTTCATCTCTCATTAAGAATGGACTTTCTCCTAGTAAGTTTGTCTCTTGTGCATGTAACCATCTTGTTGGGGTGGGTTTGGGGAAACACACATTTTGTCTTTGACTTAGATACAGGCACCTTTCAAGGTTTTTCATAACTTTCTATGATGATGTACATGTAGCAGACTAGATGTAACTTTCTGAGGCGTTGGTATATACCTGATGAAACCCTTCGATGCTTCAATCCTCTCCCTCTCTGAATCCACCTCTGGCTGGTGGTCCCGCGACAGTCTCACGGCCCTCCCCTTGCGGCAGAGAATGGCACGGCTGTCGCCCACATTGGCCACCACCAGCTCATTGCCATTGCGCAGAAGGCACACGGTCGCTGTTGTGCCGCTGTTTTCCAAGGCTGGATCTAGGAACAGGCCCCCCCCCAAAAAAAATAAAGTAAGATAACTACATGTGTATCGGTACATTGGAGGGCTAGACAGCTGTTGTTTCAAGCATTGAAATAACTCCATGCACAAGAAATGTTCAGCATTGCTTGGAGAGATTAGACTTTGTAACTTCATTACTGATTGAATTCTGGCGTGCGGGTCATATTGGGGACTGTGACTGTCAAGTTCAAAGTGTCTGCTTTACTGCACCCAACTTATTTTCCTGATTCAAGAATGAAATGTACAACTACTTATATTAAGTTGACATTTTTCTGTTAAATGGAACTTTGAATTTGAAAGCAATCAGTCAGAGATTGCCTGTTTTTGTGATAACGTATCTGTTATCAGTGCATAGCATGTACATATTTGAATAGTGTTCATTGTTTAAAACCGTACTCCAATTTGATGCATAAATTGGATAGGGTTATAACGTTTTCAATATGTACACGTATCCCTGTTTCAAAGTCAAATCAAGGAAAAGTGTAAAACAAGAGATGGTGGTTGATTTTTTTAAAGTTCTACAATGTGGATCATCACCTTGAAGTTCCATGTGCAGGTACCTAGCAAACTGGTTCTCCAGATCTACAAACGACTGCCTCAACACCACCTGTAAGTCATGCTCCTTTGTAAGCCAGTACGCAACGTGATGTTCCAAACTGTAGCTGGCAAAATCGGCCGCGACGGCTCCTCCGTGTCCGTCATAAATCCCAAAGTACAGGAGATTTGGAGCCAGTTCCCCTACGCGTATCCGATCCTCATTGGTCAAGCGCCTTCCGATCAAGGACTCCTGTCCAACATTTGACAGGGAGATCTTGGGAATGGGGATGCCGTGCTTGATGCTCTGCTGCAGAAGTATGGGCTCCTCGATGCGATTTTCCCAGGTGCCATAGGTATCCCACTCGGGCGGTCGGTTACTGTGGTCACCGGAGGAACAATTCCTGATGCACGTACACGTGGGTGGAACAGTTTTCCCTTTGCCAAGATGTGTTCTTGGCAAACTGGAGTATCTGAGATTCAGCTTAACCTCCTTTAAGACATTTCTCATACAAACTCTACTCAATCCGCTGAGAGATACAGAGTTGAACATGCTTACAGATGTCCTTGACTGCAGTGTAAATTCCAAGGTTTAACTAGCTCCCAAAGGGTTCTTGGAAATTTTTCTTCAGGACATCTTGAAAAGATCCTTCATGCAGTGTCCTGTAGACTGACTGTTGGCCTTCCTGTAACAAAGCAAAATCCATTTTTACTGGACTATTGTCACCCTAGCTTCAAGTTCATACAGATTTACCTTTTCAAGCTTTCTTTGTCACCAAACATCTTTATTGTTGAGCTTAAAAATCACTGCTCTAACCACTTTGATCTAAAACCTAAAAAATACATGTAATAACAAAAACTAAGATTTTTGATGACTGTTTTAAAATTGAGCTTGAAAGTCACGAGCATGATCATGTCCAGAAACTGGGCAAAAAAGATTCCACCTGAGCCCTAAATGTGAGAATGTGAATTTAGAAAATTTTTTCTGTACTTGCATAAAAAGAGAAAATGGCATGTAAACTGTTTGGAATTCACTGACATTTGTTGAAAAGCCATCCAAAATGGCAATTATGCACTGCATGTCCAAAAAATCGAACTGCAGTGTATAAGTATCATCTTGTCCCAACTGTACCCTGAATTTTTGCACACGTATAAAAATACCAACCACTGTCCAAATGTCTTTAGACATAAGAAAATCTCCATTGAGTGCATTGGAACGACTGGTCGATCTGCGTGATCACTTGATCTCTGCGGGATCTGCCAGTGTTATTCAATAATTTTTTGTATGATTTGCCAAGAATTCCATCATGATGATCATCAGTCAATCGCCTTTTCTTTCCATCATGTCCACAGAAATTTGTACACCACTGGTCAGCTGCAGACACGTAAACAGGGCCCGACGAATACTCCTGGAAGAGTATTCGTCAGGCCCTGTTTACGGGTCTACATGTAGGTCAGCTGGTGCCTTTCAGCATGCTGACATGTTCGAGGCTGTTCTTTCAATTACAGTGAATGCATGAAAAGGTTTACTTAAGCCTTTAATCTAGTACAAAGCCTGGAAAGAGTTCCACATACGTACATGGTGTATACGGACGCCACTTGACACCCTGTGCCTACACCCGGTGCCCCGTGAGACTGGTCTGAAAAAATCAAGTGTTTTCTCAGTAAACGACTTAGTATTTTCCCTCCTAAATTGAACTTTTCTGGACACGTTTTTGCTCTCTGATGGCTATTAAGTCACTGCAGGAAAGAATTACTGGCGTCCGAAAATGAAATTTTTGTAAGTCTTCCCCAAAGCCCTTGCCCAGGCTCTCTACCCCAGTGTTACCAGACTTCATCGATCGTTGTCGCGATGTCGATGGTCGAGGTCGTCGTATCGTCTGGTCATTCGTCAGCTTTATGTGCCCATCAAAAGCTTCTCCGTTGAGTATTTGGCAAAAAATAATCAGAAAATAAAGTTTTACTGTACTGACATAAAAGAGAGAGCCCGTGTATCGATAAATTATCTGAGAATCTGCTAAACGATCAGTCACTGACGTATTGCACTCGCATGATATGCCGAAACGTAAATAATGACTTCGGTAAACTTATGCAAACTATTGGGGGCGTTATAAGAAATACGGAGCCTTAAAAAATTCATGCACTTGTTTATGATGCCGCGGGCTCTGAATGGAGCAAAACTTTGGTTAATCGTGCCCAAATCAATTTTGGTCAATTAATTGCTACTTTGGGGTAATTCATTTGAAAAGATGAAACTATGTGCTTAACGGTACCTGAAACTTGCTTGATTGATTTTAAATGTCACCACCCCCCCCATTTTGACAGCTTGATGCAGAGATAAAAAAAATTAAATATATTCCATGTGGACTGAATTCATCGAACCATGGAGCTCCATGATCGAACTGACACGAAAAATCTGCCTGGCAAAACGAGGGGGAGATAGGGAGAACGACCTGGAGGAAAATGATTTGCCATCAGGCCAGGGGGTACTTTTACCAAGGCGAGGGAATTCTTACTTCCGGACAGTTTTACCAGTGAACCGATTTACCGTTTACAGCAATACCCTGACGAAGACACACATCTTGTGCCAGCCGGGTGCATGCTGCGGGGGGGGGGGGGCTGGGAAACTATTTTGAAAACATTAATGTAACTTGAAGGTCTCTTTCGTTCCATCGTACCCTCTGGTTCTGACGCCTTCAGCGTGATAGGCTGTACACACTGCGTCATCCTACTTCGGTGTTTTTCTCTGAATAGTGTGACCTGAATAAATAGTGATTAGCAATGTCAGCCACTGCTGGGAAAGTAAGTCAAGCAATGTGTAAAGTTTTGCGCAAAAATGTGCCTCTTACAGTCTTCAAAAACCCGACCAAACCGCGACTGAACAAACCTGGGAAGCTGGCTGTGCAGTGGGGCCGAGCCTCATGCGCGCGCAGTATAGTGCACCACACGTGTAATGTAGCGCCCTCATAGCATGGGTATTGACTGTGTCGGAATTACTTGGCTGCGGCTGGGTAGTGGCTGTAACCGTTATTGATTCGTCTGTAATGTCAAGCCGCATCCACGTAATTCGGACACGGCCTGCCGAGCAGGCCTTTAACCCTTTTCCCACATGTGCACGTACGTGTGCATGTTGCGGCCCAGGGTACTGCATGCATGCCCCTCCCCCTGAAAGGGAGGTCAGAAAATTCAACGTATTGGCCACTTCCTTAGGCAGGAGTAGGCCTACACTATTTTTGTTTATATTTGTGTTGCTGTTGGGTAATTTCAGAAACCAGGGGTCCAAAAGTGTGACCTTTTCTTGTCCCTGTTGCATTCTGACCTTTGTTAGTGACACAGAAACATTATTGATTTTTATTACTATTTGGCAGGCAATTTGCATGAATTCATCGGTCTTAGGAATTAGAAATTGTGTTCTGAACTTAAAAAATTAATTTGTCGGATTTGATAAGCCTAGTGACACACAAAAAAATGGCCCTTAATTTCTGGAATTAGACCTCCCCGTCTCTTCTGCAAACTGTTTAGAGTAATTGCAGAATACCCCACGACGTGAAAATACCCCCTAAAATTCAAAGGCTACGCAGTTGTTTGCTATGCATTGGGGGTCACTGAGCTCCTGGGCAAGGGTGCCTATTTTTCCCTTAAGAAATTTTCCTTGCAATGTCACACTCACAGCATGTGGCTCTTTTAAACATTAAAGTCTTTTCGAGAATGAAGCATCCACGTTAATCGTACACTCATCAGTGGAAGGTCAAAAAATATCCAAGTCCAGTGTGGATCCCGGGGAGTGGATATAGGGATACAAAGTACGTTAATTCCAACCAAAGTTCCGGGAATTGGCTACGCGGATACTGAGATGACGAGGTGGACTGAAGGTAGGCGAGTGGCGGAGTATTCTGCAATGGTGCCTACTGATTACAGTTTTTGAAAATTCCAACTTTCAGTTCATTTTGTGGTGATAGGTCACATTTTGTGAATGTGAAAAGAATTAGCCACCTGACAAATTTTTCCACTTTTACAGTTTTCAGCTTTGTTAGAGAGGAAAACAGGCCTTTAAAGATGCATCCAAAACACATTGTACTATACCTGGAGTGGACCAAGTTTTACAAAATATTGATTGAAATGCTCAACCATGGCTTGAGGCTTGTTAACATCACAGTTGCATATTTTAAATTTGTAACGGAGTAAATGGGTGTGGTTACCTTTTTTTTTTTCCTTATTTTTCTTTTTTTTGGGGGAAAATTCCAAGGATGATTTTGCTGGTTAAATTTTCCTTGCTCAAATGGAGCTGAGTAGCACATCTTCTTGGAAGCTCTGATTTGTTTAAGAATTTTCTACCCATTTCAAAAAACCAAAAAGTCAGGCAAATAATGTCTTCATTGTGTAACTGTTGTAACTCCCAAACCACTTAATCATTGTTGAGGTCAACAGCTGCCCCATGACCCCAAGTGCTGCTGATAGCGCTCGGTATTGTGGCTGCATGTAGTTGCAACTTTATGTAGGAATTCAGAAGTAATGCTGCCTCAGCTAATGAATTTCCGTCTGCAGCTGATTCAGCGAAAATAACGCGTAACTTACATGTAACTGGGTTGGCTGTCAGTCAATGCCAAGACCCCCCTTCCACCCAGTCTGTGTCCCGATTTTTCCCTCAGAAATAGGAAAACTGTATACACAGGGGCTGCGTGGAATCCCCTTGCAAAGGACATGTTTGTTATTTAGATTTAATGACAGTGAAATACTGAAGTGTCCACTCAAGCATATGGCACAGGAAAAAAGACCTGTCTTCTGTGAGGGCAGCCCCTCTCATCAAAATGTGGAAACCACAATTTTTCCCCGCATGACATTGCATCCCTGATCACCACTGACTAGATTTTGTCGTGTATTTGGGGTGTGATCCCTGGCTATGTGGTGTTTGTAGCTTCTGCCTTGTGCCCCCTAAACAAAATACTGGCAGGTATATTGCTCAAGAGGGCAAAGCTTGAAATCTCCTCCAGTCCAGTCAGTTTCTTTGTTCACTTTTACAACATCCTAAATATAATCCAGCTGTCGTGAAGTAATAGCAATGTTTGATATTGCAGCCTATCACCTGCAGGGCAGCCGTAGCCTGGGAGGCTGGCAAACCACTGAGCATCGAGCAGGTGGAAGTGGGCGTACCTAAGCAAGGAGAAGTCCGAGTCAAGGTAAATGATCCATATGGTAATAAACCACTGTGGTGTTCTGACAGGGCACACTCAAAAGTGAAGCATGTTGTTGGCAGGTCATTTTGGAACATAAAGGGCCCATGAAATGTATTTTTTAATAGTTTGAAGGGAAGATATGTTTACAAAAGATTTTTGTTAGTTATCGCCTTAATTATTAAGTATGAAAAAAACGTCATAAAGGAGTTTTGCAAAACAGTACTGCCCCAAGAGAAGCACCTGATTAACATTAGAAAATTTGCATAATTGTGACGCATGGTTGAGAACCCACTTCGGGCAGCAGTGCCGGCGCTAGCACTGTGTTTTTGTATACCAGTGCAGTTAACCATGATTTCCAGATCACCAAAAGTTTGCTACAAAGTTTGCATGCCAACCAGGTGCGTTGCTGCAGGTTGTGCCAACACAAATAAAGATTGCACAAGTATCCACAATTTTCTGGAAGATGGAAAATATCAGAAAATTTAGACGGCAAAAGTCAGGGTGACACTGCGAAGGAAGTTGTATGCCCTACTCTGCGGTTCAGATGGGCAAAACTTGTTCCCGACAATTAGTGGGTGCCGAAACTTGTGTCACAAACAGCGCTGCCATTTGTTACAATTCAAAAGGTGAATTTGACGGGTGCAATTTGGAAAAACAGCAATTAGCCATAATTAAAGGAACCTTTTTTTCCATATTTGCATCATTTATAATTTGACTGACATAGCGTACAAAGCACATTTTAAAGCAGAAAACTGCAGTTAGTCCTTGGAGGTCCACAAGGGCCCTTTAATCATTGAGGTCATTTGCCAACCCATACATGACCACCTCAGCATTTGTACATGATGTTGTAAAGTCCAACTGTATGAAGGACTGTAGTTGCAGTGCTTTGTCGTTAGAGAAGCCAGCATTTTTGACGAAAAAATAGTAAATCCAGGGACCATGGAATAACACTGTCAGCAAGTGGTGATTTCCATGAAAATGTAGTTTTTTTTTTCCCAAAAAAAGATTCTGGCAACAGGTGTCTGCCACACTGATGCTTACACCCTGAGTGGTATCGACCCAGAGGGGAAATTCCCTTGCATCTTGGGCCACGAAGGAGGTGGTATCGTTGAGAGTGTTGGCCCAGGGGTGACATCTGTGGCCGTGGGGGACCACGTCATACCCATGTACGTCCCTCAGTGCCGCGATTGCAAGTTCTGCTTGAGCCCCAAGACCAATCTCTGCCAGAAAATCAGGTAAATTACCTGTAAATCGTTTGCATACCTGCCAACCGTTTCGATTTAACTATTCCAATTTAAGTTTTGCAGACCACCAAAAAATGAACACTGCGATTTCTATAAAAGGAAAAAAATGAATAAATAAAAAAGTCTTGGCAAAGGAGGGTGCTATTTGCAGAAAAAAAAAGAGGGCGCTATATGCTAAAATAGTAGTTGTTACACATACATACACAAATAGCTTCTCTCTCGCCACAACTTGTTTTCTATTGGTTATAAAATGGGTGTTTCGATTTCTGACATTCCAGTGTTGGCAGGTATGAATTTAGCATTCCTTTGTGAAAATCGGTGTTGCAGTTGAGAGTTTTGTTTGATAACACCAAAACTAGACACCCAGTCTGAATTCAAGTCACAAGAACATTCCCTTTTCACTGTTCACCCTGTTACTTATGATCTGATCTTGTGATGGTGTTGACTACAGTCTTGGTGAATTTGTTCATTTTTGGATTCTTTTAAAGCAATTGAATTTATATTTATAATGATGTTTCCTCCAGTTCGTTGAAATTTACTGTGCATAATAATAACTAAAACATTCAGGTAAGTTAAAAAGTAAAATTGGCCAAATGGTCATTTGGAATGTCAGCTAAACTGGTCCCACTTATTCTCTGTACTTCCTATTTGAGTACAGAGTGACCCAGGGGAAAGGATTGATGCCTGATGGGACCAGCCGATTCACCTGCAAAGGTCAGGAAGTGTCCCACTTCATGGGCACCTCTACCTTCAGTGAGTACACTGTGCTGCCGGAGATATCGTTGGCCAAGGTACGTGCAATCCAGGATAGCTGATCACCGCATTTGGAGGACAGCTTCATTGGTCGTGAAAGTCAGGACGGAGTTCCGGGGCACGAAATTTTCTCTCCATAACATTTTGGTTCCTGCAACATCTATTTCAACACGTGTGTAGTCGCCCTCACTAGGGAACAAGTATACGTACACGCACGACTACGAGATCTTTGTAGGAGTTTACAGCTATTGCGACAAAGTGATCAAAGGTGCAGGTCTGGCAATTACAGGAATACACTTGTAATATTCATAAATAGACAATCATTTGTGTAATTTTGGCCAACAGCTGGATAGTTTCATTAACGAAATTGCTAATGATTGTTGAAGCTATAAAAAAAAATGTCAAATGAAAAATTCAGATGAAGGTTTTGAACAGGTTTCCATAAAATGTGAGCAGAATTTGTGCAAGTTGTACATCAACCATCAAGAAAATGGCTCAGATGTGTACCATTACCATTCATTGCATTTTGGGGCACAAAGAGTTGATAATCATTTAATCCCACTCCCCGTGGCACTGATAACAGAATTTGGAAAAGCCACATTTCTATCTGAAAAAAACAGACCTCAAGCTTTCATTTGATGTAAAGTTCATTCGTAGGAATACCGTGAATCTGAAACTCATGGTGTCATATCTACATTTGGGCTGTGTTGCGAGTTGTAAGAGTAAGAGCCATTAAGTATTTTACATCTAATGGTTGTGTATTTGTATTTTACATGTAGGTTAATGAGAAGGCACCGTTGGACAAAGTCTGCTTGCTTGGCTGCGGCATTAGCACGGGATTTGGTGCTGCACTGAACACTGCTAAGGTGAATACACTTCTTAAGGGACCATCTACCAAGTCATGATGAAAGTGTGCAAAATACATGTAATAAATGGATTGAGTGATGCTAGGGTGATATGGGAAGGTGTAAATATGTGTCATTTGCAAGCCACATGTATAGCACACGTCTGTGGTTACTGCTGTTGGTCACAGAGTGGCCGGTTTAAATCACCGATTTAAAGCAAAGTGTTTTTGTAAATCACTGATTTAAATCAACATTTTAATCTTTGTTTGAAAAATGTTGCAATTTTTGTACCTTTTCCCAACTGCTTTGAAATTTTATTCAGGTTTTGCACATTTTAAATAGCAAGTATCCTTCTGTGAGCTGTTCACTTGCTGGTATTGATAAAAAGTATCAATACACAATCTGGGTTGGCAAGATTATTTATTATGTTAAAGCCACTAGTTTTGATTTAAATCAGCTGTTTGGATTTGGTGCGTAAGTTTCACATAAAGGATTTATAATCACGATTTAATTTCCGTTCATGTAAAGTGTCCACTTCAGGGTTTAACTTGCTAAAGTATCAGTGTACATCTACCCTTCATCTCTACAAGTGCACGTGTATTTTATTGAGGTTAAAAATGTTGGTCATCACTCAGTGAAACCAATACAGGTTACAAAAGGTTAAGAAAGTTCATTTTAATTAAGTCCGGGTCACTTTTCTGTAAGGCATAAAGGAGCTGGATCACAGTTCAGTGCTATGAGCAATCCACCAACTTGGCTCAAGCACTGAACTGACTGTCTTAGTATAATCTACATGCTTGTATGTACATGTACGTATGTATCTTGATTTAACTATGCAAAGAGAAAAAAAACTGAAAGAATGGCAGCCAGTCCATTCTTGTCTATCTGCTGCAGATGAACACGAGCCAAGCGAATTTGATGACACACAACAGTCACAGTGAAATTCGCTTGTGTTGAAATGTGTTCAATTTGTGCGAATTCGCAGCGTGAAATATTGGATCTGACGTTACAGTTGCAGTTGCAAGTTCATGATGTCATTTGTGCCAAAAAGGAGCAGTCTGAAAAAGGGAACTTTGTCTTGTTCGTCTGCTCAGGTGGAGGCTGGTTCCACTTGTGCTGTGTGGGGTCTTGGCTGTGTTGGTCTGGCTGTCATCATGGGATGCAAGGCTGCTGGGGCATCTAAGATCATTGGTATTGACATCAACAATGACAAAGAGTCTTTGGGTAAGATCATCGTCTTTCCCTTGAAAAAACAGAATCTGAAACTTCCGTCCCCCTGCAAAAATGTATAAAAATACAAAAAAACACCAAAAAAAAGTGAAAAAAATCTTAGAAATTGATAAAAAGGCACGGAAATCACCAATTTGCTGTAAGACCTATAATTTGCCCCTTCCCATCGCTAAAAGTCTAACAGTTTGTAGCTGATGAGTACTTTGTCCCTTGGAAGTTCCATCCCCCCCACCTCACAGAATATTCTGAAATGCCCATGAGGCTGGTTGTTCACAGAAATATAATTTCTGGCTGCTGACTTGCACCCCCGAACAAAGATATTGACATATGGGAAGAGTCACCAACATAGGGCTGGATAGCTCAGTTGGTAGAGCACCAGTACGGTATTCCGGAGGCCACAGGTTCAAGTCTTGCTGTAGTCAATGTCTTTGTTCATCTTTATAGTTACAGAAATGTAATAGATTAGTAACTTCTCACCCGCTTGTCTCAAGTATTTCTGAACTAAAACCATTTTGAGGAACTTCCAGACCGTGCTGTGGGCCAGGTGAGTGATACATGTACGTCGTAATTTGTCTGGACTTTTTGCAGCCAGACAGTTTGGAGCTACAGACTTTGTTAACCCCAAGAACTATGACAAGCCTACGCCCCAGGTACTGAGCGAGATGACTGATGGTGGCCTGGACTACACATTCGAGTGTATTGGAAACGTCAAGACAATGGTAAGTTAATACCTCAGCTGCAGTGCATTCAACCCACCCCAGCCTACCCCCCCCCACCCAATCCATAACAAATCTACAATACAGTGGTGTGAAGAATGTTGCGGCAAGCTATTGTTGATTTAGTCGTGGAGATGTTCCCAACCCATTCTGGATAAGTGATGTAATAACTCCTTTCTCTTTGAAAGGACAAAAGATCAGGCAACTTATCTTACAGTTTGCACATTATCAAAGATTCATAACTACCCTAGACAGTGTCCCTGCTCAACAACACGCAGTGTGACCGTGTATTGACATTTGATAATGCCTGCTGTGTCAGAATGCGTTATTACTTGGATACAAGACCATGAAGACAGTGTTACCATTCCTATTGGTCAAGAGTCTATGTGCGCTGCAGCACGTAGAACTTGCCACGCACATGCCAAGTCGATATTAGGAGATTCTTCTAGACTGCTTGCTCAAGGAATATACTATAAAATGGACAGGGGTGTACAGGGAAAGGAAAGTAACATTTTGAACGAAATCCTTGGAAATTTTTTGTGTATTGACTTCTTTGGACTCTCTGACTGATACAGAATTTACAAATGGAAACAAATATGTGCTCGGTCGGTCTTGATTTAACATGTAAGCCCAGGCAAGCACATATGTATTCCCTTAACCCTAACAGTCCCAAACGCTCCAATTTCAACACGATTTTACATACAACCTAGGGGGTTAGGGTTAATAAAAACTGGTTACTCCTGAAAGTACCTAAGTGTGCCCTTGGGAAGCAAATGTAAAATACTCTTTCTTCCAAATCATCCGAGACTGATTTTGAAACCTGGTGCTCAAACTGGCTGCCAGGCACCCAGGAAACTAGCATAGACTCAGCTCCTTTGAACCACCCGGAGTAGGGCTGCTCTAACTATTTGACGGATTGTCAAATATTCAAATATTTGATTTTTAAAATTGATTATTCAGAGATAAAAAATCAATGAAATACAAAGGAAAAATAAATCTCTCATTTGGTTTCAAAATTGCTTTCTTAAAGCATATTTCTAGTTATTATGAGGTGAACAATAATTCCCATCAGCAAGGACAAAATGTCACTCTTCCAGTTTTTGTTTATCCTACCTTAAGTGGTACTGGTACGAATCGATCAAAGTGGGAGACTGCGACGGCCGACAACAGGGACACAGCGTTATAAAGATTCTTTCATCCCTAGGGCCATTGCTCATGCAATTTGAAACATACAAGGGGAATAGACGAACTTTGATAAGATGTGGTATTGATGATTTTTAATGATTTGTAATGTATTAATTTTGTGTTTTAATTAGATTTAGGGTATGTAGGTTTTAGAATGCTAATTTTTGTATTTTTTTAATGGGGCTTGTACGCAGAGATGTAATTTCCTTTGGCATTAATAAAATAACTATAACCATTGGGAGAATAAAATCCCCAACAAGAACGGACGAGTTGGATTCACATTCTCCTCGTTTAATTAGCGGACAGACCTCTGTCCTCATCCTCAACTGATCTGTGGACCATCACACAAACAGTCATATTTTGCTGCTGCTTTTGAGGGAATCTGGTGTAACCGAATATTTGATCAAAATGGTGGGTCAGATATTTGGAGATCCAATCATTCAAATGGACTTAGCCTTAAAGTAGCATGCAACACTCGGCAGCTTAACCCATTTCAGTCTAACGTTGGCATAAATGCTGATTCCTGGCGTATATTGCAATGATTCTTTTTCAGCGCGAGGCCCTAGAATCCTGCCACAAGGGTTGGGGCGTGTCCACCATCATTGGTGTAGCCGGGGCAGGGCAGGAGATCTCTACGCGCCCCTTTCAGCTGGTCACTGGGCGTGTCTGGAAGGGTACTGCCTTTGGAGGTATGTTCAGAAAAAGGTTATCCATTTGTGAGAGCAAGCACGTGTCTGAATGCCATTTGGGGTCATTGTCACAGTCGAACCCCTTATGCATGCACATACACGACCACTGCAAGGCCATCACCAACCAATCGCAATTCCCTCGAGAGACCCCGTTTCTATTCAAGTGGACTGCAACAAAAGCATTCTTTTGTCCGTGCTCACTCCGTTACTTGTGACCGATATTGTGTCTGATCCTGTGACTACTTGTACATATGCAACAGAGACTGTGTTCCTGAGACTACGATATACTAGTAATAGTATGGACCAAATCTTGTGAATGCGGTGATCTCTGCCCTTGATGTTCTTGAGATGTACATGTATATGTGGCACCGTACTATACATGCAAATCTGGCAGCTGAGAATCTAGCAATGTCAGACTCCTGTCATACCAGGAAATGTTTGGGCTGCAACCCTCCAATCCAATTCACGCTAGACCAGTTTTTTTTTTATTCCTAACAGCAGCCTAGACTATACTAGGATTTTATTGAGGAAAAGATCATGGCTCTGATTATTGGTTCATAGCTATAACAGTCCCAAATCCTCCAGTTTTAAAAAGAATTTCCGGACGCCCGAGGGGGTTAGGGTTAACGAAATTCGCGTAAACAGCCGTCGAGGCTTGTACGTGCCAGCTATTCGTAAAAAGACCACGAGATCTTCGAAAAATATCAAATATTCTAATGTGCTCCAAAACGATATTCATCCAGCACATACTTTTCCGACAGGGTACAAGAGTCGTGACGGTGTTCCCCAGCTGGTAGAGGACTACCTGGGGGGAAAGGTCAAAGTCGACGAGTTTATTACCCACCACGTCAACTTTGACCAAATCAACGATGCCTTTGATCTGCTGCACTCAGGCCAAAGGTAAGGTTATGTTGTAGAAAGAGTCCGCTGTTCATTCTTCACCCCAATCCGACTGTGAAGCAAACCAGACGTCAGGAAGCATTGGCAGCGAAAGCTGCTCAGGTTGAAATGGGTTCAACCTCTGTGAATTCACAGCACGAAAACTTGATCCGAAGTGCCAATGTCACGTTTGTGTTTGCCTTTGCGCCGGTCATGGTAGTCCACAAGCGTTCATTGGCTGGTCATCACCTGCCAGTCCCAAACACGAGCTGTGATGCAGTGCACGGCGACTGTACCCAGCACGCTTTTCGGGAATAACTAGCATGGCATGGCAGTTACCGAATGCGGCAAGCAGGGTGCTTGTAAACTTTTCTTCTGTCCCGCGGACTGTGGTTACCAAATGCCACACACTGGACACCTGTGAAAGTGTCTTCTCGGAGTTGCTTGCGTGCATTTCTACTTGCCTTTTGGAATTCCAATGCTTCAGAGAAGCTGATTAAGGGTGGGACGTTGAGGTGGCAGGGCCAATTTTCAGTTGTACTTTTATGTATTCTTTATTTAGAAGATAGGAGTAGTGCCCCTTTTGAGGTAAACCAAATTTATTTCAGTCTCAGTTGGATATCCCCCCTTTCTTGGTAGTGTGTCCCCCTGTTTGTTTACTTTAGCTCACAAGGTGCCTTATAAAGTTGCCTTCTGGTCAAGGCCGTTCAGTGCAGCAGACCAGCAGTGAAGTGTGCACATGTCCCTGTACCTGTGTTCATCTTTCAACCTCTTAACTAGAGTGGTACGCCCTGCTTGTGTTTTGTCTGCTCAAGTCATTGACTTCTTGTTGGAGTGTACTTGAATTACACAGTGTGTTGGTTTTGGTTTTTAGTCTTTTTAATTTTTGGTCTTTTGGTTTTAGTCCTTTCAAAATTGTTTTTAGTCCTTTCGGTTTTTGCATTTTTTTGTACTTTTTTCATTAATAGTTTTTTTTGTCCTTTTGTTGAAGTCGAATATTGGTGTCAGAGTCCCTATTAATTCAGTTTCCTGCGACCCTTCCCTCAAAGTTCCTCGGTTTAGTTAGAGTGTTTGTTGTTTTGTGAGTTCCCCATTGTATGCCATTTTTCCCTGTTACATTGACACATTTAAACATTAAACGAAAAAAAGTCCAAATCCGTTTACAGATATGGCCACACGTGTAAACGGAACCACCGCTTTTAGAGGTTTGATGTTTTGATTGCCACAATCTGGCTTTCCTTTTGATTATAAATGATGCCTGTGAAATGTAATCTGATTTTCAGAACACTTTACTGCTCACCATAAATTCATCACCGGAAGTTTGCGTCAACTATTAACATTGTACACAGTCTGTTGTGTTTGTAAGTTTTCAATGACATCGAGGTAAGGGTGGGACGTCGAAACGGTATGGGAAAGTTTTCCAAACATTTTTCAAATTAAACGTAAATTCCTATCCTTAACGCTGACGCAACATTCATTGTGTGTCTCTACAGCATCCGAACCATTGTCCATTTCTGAACTGAAGAGTTCCGCTGCGAGACCTACCCTCCGAGAGGATGGGACTGTGCTAGAGGTATTCATTTGGAACCAGAACAAGTCTGTGTAAAAGCACAATTTTTTTAGTTTTGAAATGTTTCCAGTTGTATCTGTTATTATGTAGGGGTACATGTAGCATACCTGAACAAATTATCAAAGTTTCCAAGTATAATTGGGTGTGAAACACACTTAGGGCTAAACCCAATGGTCGGGCATCATTTCAAAATTCGTATCAGTTGACTCTAGGACAGGATTATCCGACCGATAACAGTGACTTGTGTTGAGTGAATAATGGATGGGGTGTTGCTCCACTGAAACCACATAGCCTTGGAAGTAATGCAATAAAAAGGCATTGTATCAGTTAGAATTGGCCACTTGAGAACACTTGACCTGATAGCCAACCGACAATAAATGTATCGGTCGGACCGTTCTCTCCGACACCTACCCGATAAGAATTTTGAAATGGTGCCTAAAGGGGATTTACGTTCAGTGGAAGAAACCCAGAAATCCTGTGCTTTGAATTTTTTGTTATGCCATTTATGATTGTAGCATTATTAAGGAAAAAAGGGTTTGATGGAGTGCGACTTTGACCTAGTACACATACATTCAAAACAGGATATGAGCTGGCGACGGCGCTGTCCATTATCGGCACCAGTGCCAGACCCACTGTCAGTTTTAAATGCACATTTGAAACCGCTCATTTGCACTTTCCTTCACTTTTAGCAACGACATATGCCTTGCGCGCGGTACTAAAGTCTCCTTATTTGGGAGGTGTTGCATGCAGCGCTACTGAGTGATGCGATACAGAATACAGAACACACCAGGGCCGTGGTCAAGTTAAATTGAGGCTCTGTGAGTGTGATGGTGGTGATTGCCGCGTACAAGGGCTAAAGGTCCATAGAACAGGAGTTGGAAGTTCATATGAAGTTTTTAAAACCAGTAAGTAGGGTCATCAGCCACTTGAAATCACCCACATGACAAGCTATTGACCAACAGGAAAACTGGTGAAAGGTATTGATAAATGATTGGGAAAATGCGTAGTCCAAAGTGATTTTTTTAAAAAATAATTTTTGGATGGTCATTTTATCATGTGCCGTTGCAAATAGGTTAGTTTATGTTTCTTCATTTCACTAAAGATCTGATTACATTTGCCGCAGGACTTGGTAAAGATCATCTATAAAAAACATTCTCAGGTATCTTTAATTTTTATAGCTTTATCCTGCCTTGGAGAGGATACTTATTTCTTAGCGTTAAGATGTCCTTATTTTCATCAGTCAAAACAAGACTGTACTTGTTTCATCAAAATCATATTGAATAATCACAATTAAACATCTCTTCAGCAATGCCAATCAAATGGATCTTGCGCAAGTAGAAAAGATTTCAGAATGTCAATTTAACAAAATAAAACTCACGTGTGTGACAGATTACATAATGCGTGTTGGTGAGATTAAGAATTCCTTTCCCCCCCCCAGTAAATAAACAAAAATCAAATTGTGTGTTCTCTAATCTTGTCTCTGAAGTGTGTTGAAGTTTTCATGTCCAAGAACTGATTCATCATCAAAACGATTCCTCATTTTGAACATCAAAGCACTTTTTGCCCATCAGTTCTGAAAGATCTTCCATTTGTGGTGACGAGGTATTCCTCCCCAAAATTATTCTTTCCAACGGGCAAAGAGATTTCTTCCATTTCACTTGGATTTATTACTCTGAGCAGTCTTTATATGACAAAATATGTCTAACATGACGTCACAACAATACAGCATACCAGGTCAAAGACCACCTACTTATTTCTTACAAGATGTTATGCGTAAGTAACCAATGACAGGTTCTTGGCTATAGATGCAGTTTCCAGATCATTTACAAGGTTCTTAAATATTCTACGTGAAATGCTTCAACTCTGGGATCTACCAGCGGAGAAAAACACAGTACTTCTACACAAGTATGAAACAATGCGTGGGTGGACCGTCAAAATCCCCTCCCCCAGAAAGTTCTACATGTACAGTACATGTACTTAACAAACATTACACGCCAAAGCAAATGGAGTGAGGCATATGCACCTGCTGGTTTCACGATAAGTGGTGTAGCTTTGCACCATATGCAAGCTTTATGCCTCGCATTTGGGGCATAGCTGCGCCGTGTACATGTACTTAACGGTTGATTTCACCCAAGGTTTCATGACTGGGGGCCTTTCTAAGTCAGTATCCTAGATGTGGAGGATCACACTTCAGCAAAATATGACCATGCTTTTTATATTTATCCAGTTCATCTGATCCTGTTAAGGGCAAGTGCGACAGTGGATCTTACTTCTGGTTTGAATGCTGACAGTCCATGAAAACACTGACTACCCCCAGTAATCTGTAGTTTGTCTCCTTCACTTCTCATCTGGTAAAATAGAAAGCTAAAAAACGGATACTGTGCCTCAAGAAGCAATTTCACTTCACACTGCAACTCCTCCCGAGCTTTCCCGATATCTCAAGCTCAAAATTTACCGCAATGCTACGCCACTTCTGACATGTCATGGATGACATCTGTGACATGACATCTGTGACATGACGTCTGTGACATGACATGTCACAGAGGTAACCACATCTTGGAGTTTATGTTTACAGAATCTCAAGGACTGGTACATGGCACATGCATGACGTGCCGACACGGCGGTAGTTCTCCATGGAAGTGTCGCACGTGTGAGTTTAACACTGTAACTACAGAGGGTATCATATCCGCTTACAATAGTGATGATTTACAAGTGTTAATTTTCTTCCAAACTACTGAGTTCAAAGGCAATATCGAGTTTGCACTCGGCTGGCAAGTTTAAAATGATTTTGTTGATGAACACTACTTTACAGAGAGAACAAAATGCCCGGTGCAGGTACCAAAGTAAACTCCATCCTTTCAGAGAGAAGAGGGTGGAGAAATTCAGTCAAGTCTTGCCATAAAATAATGGAGCTTGCCTCATTTCTTGAATCGGTAAAAGAATGAAAACTCACCGGGAAAGTCTGTAGCCAGGTTAAATTGGATCAGCCAAAATTACATAATGTTCCGGGATTTGAAAAACCCTTCCAAGTACATGTATCTTGGAAGAAAAGTAGACATGATCTGGTAAATACGAAATGAAAATCAAGCCCCTTAGCTGGTTGTGGCTCATTGGCAGGTTAGGGGGGAGGGGCGTGGCTCTGCTCAATCTAGTGAGCAGCACCATCTGTCAGATTTGTTCAAACACCTAGCAAAGGAAGGCTTTCTTGGTGCCCTTCTGCCCTCACTCTAATGTAACAACGGCTCATGTTGCTCCTGCAAATGAAATGCACAAGCCAGTCTTTATTTTGGAAATATGTCCCCCCCCTTTTCTACATCTGGTCCATGAAATGTGGCTGTCCGTTGCGTTCCTGCCTCGCTGTAAGGATTTGGCAGCCCGTCTCGGTGACAAGTAATGTGTGCTCAAACTGGGCTGACCGCTTGCCATCCTGAGTGACCGCCGTCCAGTTGTCTGGCCAGGTGTCATCTCTCCATGAACCTGTTTCAAAACGGGGGGGGGAGGAAATCAAAAAGCGGGTTGTTCCAGGGATCCACATGAGAAAGTCAAAATGCCATAGTTGGATTTCCAACACGATGTGCAACTCAAAGCTTACCTTCGCATATCATTGGTTCAATTGTGAATGCATGTCCTGGCTTCATCACACCTGTAGCCTTGTTTTCTGGAGGAAGAATTACAAATGTGTAGTGGCAAAACTGAAAACTGTCGGCTGCGAAACAGGTTGTCAAAAAAGGTTGTCCTTTTGATCCACCGTCCATACCGACCACAACTGCACTGTAAAATGGCAGTGCTGTGTGAGCATGGCCATTGGGCACATGGCACGGTTTCTTGATTGGGGATATTCCGTGTTCCTAAAATGAGCACCTCCAATGGACATGTGATGCAAGATATGTGGTAAAGGGGGACCCCCCCTCTATTGTGTCTTCTTTTGTGTTGATGGAATCTTTGGAATTCTTTTCAGATTTCCGAGGGAGGCGCAGTAGGCACAAATAGCCTTGGGGTATACAGCTTGCGCATCACGTGGGGGGGTCCCCCTTTACCACATATCGTGCAGGGTACCACAGTGGAACCGGAAAAGTCACAAGAATCCTACTGCTGATTTGAACAATGCACGAACGAATGGGGATGCTTTATTCCCAAGCAAATGACATCTCTTGGCGCAAGCACAAATGCACTGGGTTGCATGCGTAACAAGGCAAATTGCCCACGGGGAAGTTTTTGAGTACATGCCACGCCCACAGAGTGGTAAGGTCTTCCTCCATTTTGGACGGCGTATTTCAATATGCAATCTGCACCGAGTGCTAGTCTGTCTTCCAAGTCACACTAGAAATAGCAAAGTGAGTAGGACGATTAAATGCCTGTCCACTTACTTGCATAGTGAGGCACACTTGGTGCCGTGTGGAATAGCCTATGAATGCCATGTCCGCAGTACGTCCGGACCACGGACAGCTTGTTAGCTTGAGCATGTTTCTGTATAATATCTCCAATCTCTCGATAGCGAACACCCGGCCTGACTGTAATTTAATAGAAAATATGAGCGGAACAAATGGTCAAACTCAAAAGAATCCACGGCATTTATACTCGGGCGTCAATAGATGTTGTCTGTCAGATTAAAGTAGCCACCAGACAGTCATTCGTGTGGGTGTAAATGTCCAGTAAACAAAGCTAAGGTTTTTTAAAAGAATTTTGAAAATGGAAAATCTTGAAAATCCCCCGGTTTTACGTCATGTAACTTCAAATTACACCCGGCAGCAAGTGGTTAAGGAATAAAGATCATAACTATCCAATGCTTCAAATAAACTGTCACACTTTTTCCTCTTGATCCCTCAAATGGGACTTAAGTAAAACATGAATAGTTAAAAGGCTGATCTGCCACCAATCTTCACTTCTAACGTGCAGACAATTACGAACTGAATATGTTTTTCTGTTGATGAGCAATCATCAAATGACAATTACCTGCTTGTATTGCCAATTCAAGACACCTATATGTGACGGATACCAACTCTTTCGACTTCTCATCAACTTCTCCGACAAAGAAAGTCTCATTTAGGTCACCGTGGAAACCATTGTGGTAAACCGTGATGTCAACTGTATTCAGAACAGAAGAGACAAAAATTTGACATTTGGTTATGCTGTTTATGTCAAAAGAATGTTAAAGGAAAAGAAAAATCCAATGACATGACTTCATAAAACTGACCAATCAACACCTGCCCCAGCTGGATTTAGATTTTTGGATCCTCATTCACAAAAAGAGGACAGCAAAGATATAGCCAACTTGCCATTCATGATGTCTCCGTTCTCCATGGGTCGCTTATCAGGTATACCATGACATATGACCTCATTCACCGACCTGCGTGGAAATACAATCCATTAAATGATCGTTTTGTTAGTAAATCAGAGTGGGGAGAATTCCCTCCTCCGCGCACAATTTCTTAGTAAGTCTGCTTCGAAGGACTGCACTGCAGTGCAGGGAGGTACCTCTTGTTTACAGTATAGATACAAGTCACATTAATAAAGTCGCAGCACGTAGTGCAGGTATTTACATTGATTTGCACTACCAAGTTACGTTAGGGAACAACTGTGTGACACACTGAAGTTCGGTGTTTATGTGAGTTTTCCATCTTGTGTTCATTCATTGGGTTTAACCCCTTCCGGCCGGGATTCTTTTGACCGTGACTGCTGGGCTGCGGTATGCCCAGTGTGCAAAGCTCTGTCCAGCAGCAGGCCCCATTGAACCAGCAGCTGCATGGTAAATAGACTGTATGTGTGGTATGCACTAATCCTCACACAAAGCCGCTGCTATCTATGTTATGTTACGTAGATAACCACGTTACTATCTACGAAGGGGTTATGTGCAAAAAGGCAAATTTCAGGAAAAGATTTGTGGCTTTTTGTTGTGATGCCTGCGGAGAACAACCAGACAACACGGGCACATTTTCGGGCATTCTGCACTATGAGTGCAGAAAATAATGGCAATACGGCGTGAGCACTGAGCAGAGGAAACTTACGTGCAACAGGACTTGGGAAATTTATGATAATTCAGAGGCGAAGGGTAACAGTTTCTCTCCACACAGGCTTTGTGGACTACCTCGTCGATCTCATCAGTGGTGACGCCCGGTTTGACCATGGTGGCAGCAATGTCTAGGACCTCCCTTCCAAGCTGCGGCAACAAAAGAACAAAGCAATCTGACCATATCGGTTGATGCCATATGACCATACAGCACCTGGGTTCACAGAGCAGTGGGCAACTTGTGCCTTTCAAGGAACAAATTTGCCTTGCAACAACTCTGAAGAAAATTACTGCTTGTTGTGCAACAATTGCGAGTAGAAACTACACCAGGACACGGGTTGTCAGAAAAAACCTCTGTGGATCAGCTTTCGCTCTTCATTTGTCTCATTTTCTTCAAAATGAGAGCACTTACAGTGTACCCACGATGTAGCTTCAGCGAAATGACGTAACTTGTTACATGGGTCATTCCATGAGGTCGGGGCACAATTTGAGAAGGTGTCAATCGTTACATGGGTTCCGTAAAAATGTACACCTATTTCCCTGCATGTGGATTCCACATTGACATTGTTATACATCTGGCAAGGCTGAATACAGAGGGGTGTGTTACTTTTACGGAGTAAATGACCTACTCTACAGGTCATGACAGGTGGTAAAAGTTGCGGATGTAACAAGGACACCGTCACAAATTGGTCATGGAATGACCCCTCAACAACTCACACTTCACCAAAACAGAGACCAAGACCCATATGACGATAGAAGAAATGTGGGTACGAAGCGACCCACAATGCAATACAAGCGGAACCGGGCACTGAACCCTATTCTCTTGTTAGTTCTTACCCTACAGGCAACCCTCAGGCCTTCAATTTCCTCAGCGGTCAGGCAACGGATCTGGGTGCTTCCTTTCACTGCCATTTCACTGGTTGGATAACCTGATTCAAAGCACCAGAAACCAACTTGTGGGAACTACGGGCATGCGTGTGCTAGTTTGATTGTCAGCAAGTCGAAGGGTCACATTTTCGACTGTTTTGACACTGCTGTAGAAACAGTGCTGTGTTGTGTTTTATACAAATTGATATGAGCAACGGTGCTTGCATTTTAATCATTTACTAATTTACCACATTAACAATTGATCAAAAGTATGTTCATAATGCAAGATTTGAGTGGCAAATGCACAGCATAAATTAGGCCTTATGGTGCACATCTGAGTCAAAACCCCCAATTCAACAGATAACAATCTTCATCATTTTCAAATTTCAAAACAGCTTTTTCCCCAGTAAAGGCCTCTTTCAAGTTCTGGACCTGTGTCAGGCCTCATTCCTTACCTTCTGGGTGATCTGCATAATCCGGCCTCCCAATGCCTTCTTGGACAGGCCGCGATTCCGACTGTTAACATGAATTAGTGACAATCAGTGAAATACATGTAAGGTTCACAGTCTACAGTTTGCATTTTTGGAAAATTTATTTATTAAACTTGAAACTTTATTTTTTTAAAAGTTATCCCTAGTAGTGCTAAACTGACAGTGGAAAATGAAAGAAAAAACATGAACTCAAGTACAGCATATACATGTACATGTAATGCAAGCAGTGTACAATTACAAATAGAACATGGAATAAAACCATTAATTTATGCTAATTTATGCTATCAGTGACATACAAGGCATGCAATTGTTAAACAAATGGTACCAGTTGTCCTGTATGATTCGCTGAGTACATAAATTAGCATTTTTGATGGGCCAAAAAAAACCCTGAATGGAATGTGAATAGCGTAATAAAAGCAGATCGTCTGTGTATGTTGTTGGCATGAGGGAGATTCAGTGTCTTGGTATTACTGGCTGCAATTGTTCAGGTTGGTTGGTGATCATGCACTGAACAATAAACATACAGTTCTCTTCGTAATGTATATCTGGTACACTTAAAAGGCAGCATTTTGCTGTCAAAGCCTCGTTTACAGGGTTTCTGCATCCTAAGGACAAATAAATTCCACAACTTTTCCACGACTTTAGTCGTTTTTTCACAATTCCGTGACTTTTCCAGGCCTGGAAAATGAAAACGAATGTCCATGACTTTTTTAATGATGTTTCCAGGCCGCGGGAACTCTGTGTTCATTAACACTGAGGGCAGGGGGATTTGGTGAATTCGACACACTAATACTGATTCTGGTGCACAAGAAAATCCTTTGCCTCTAATCTGATTGCCAGTTCTTACCAGTGGGTAGGGGCGCAGTTTGCCAGTAAACCTGTATCCTGGCCATGGATTGTAGACCTTAGCATTGAGCTGCTGGCTGATACGTTCCTTCTTATGAACCTGTTTGTGATTGACCCAGTTCTCCTTGAAACATTCCTGTTAAATTAGGAGTAAACTGTTAAGCCTGGAACTTTGATGTGAAAGCTTATCTGCAGAAGTGTGTTTGCCCCATAGATAAACACTGTGATGCTTCACAGTACGGCTTGGACCATGTCAGTTCACTTTAACCCTAACCTTCCCCAACCACACAGAATTAAACAGTCAGTAGTAAAGTGTTNCTCTGTGCACAAAGTCCCATATGGGTGTTTAAACTTTGTGTGAATGGGGGTTAGGGTTAAATACATGCATGAGCACTTCTGTAGATATTGGTCAGTGGAGAATGACTTAGTAAGGTGGCGTCACGTGAAATGACGTTGCCATCACAAGTTTTACCTATAACACAAGTTACATGTTACATAATCAAACTGTTGTAATAACCAGTTCAGCATTCCAACAGCCCATGCTCAGTACGAGGCTATTCGCGAACGGCATCTCGCATGCTTGAGGACTCTCGCCTGATCATGTCTAAATGTTTGAATAAGTAATTTATAGGCCCTATTCGCAGTTACTCCAACTTTGGCCATGCTCTAACCAGGCCCCATAAATGTGGGTAGAATTCTGCACTACTTCCATATTATAAATGAGGCTGGGCACTAGGCCTACATGTACCAATTTCAGAAAGAATGTTGCATCTTGACTGGATCTGGATAATCATGGAGGATGGACACAGGAGTTTGAACTGCCCAGGCTATAACCTCTGGCCAATTACTGCTTTCTGGCATGCTCGGTATGTCCTTAGCCAGAGCACAGCGCGTGCTTGCTACGCACCACCTGTTTTGCAACCATAAGCCCCCTTTGTACCCCATGATCATCACTGCAATTTTTCGTTGGTAATCTGCATCCCTAAAATGTTGTGTACTACAGTATAGGAAGTTGAATATTTATGCCATCGTTGGTGCTTGGTATGATCTGACAACGTCAAATTTAATACTTGTGCAGTTGCTTTTATTAGGCTGTGTACCCGAAGTGTTCATGTGTAGTTATTGCCCTTATCGAACGCTCTCTTCTGGACTTCTTTTGGGAATAAATAGCCAAGCTGTTTGTAAGAATCATTTTTATTAAAGAATTTACACAAAAAGGTATTTTATGAAATCTCATGATCACTCCCTGTGATGGAACAGCGCATTTTGTTTTTCGTGAACTTAACTGGCCTGTGGTGTTCAACATGTTGTTGGCCAGTCTTAACCGAACACGTACAAAGACTTTGAAAACTGATGTGTTGGAGTGACAAAATAAAATTACAAACATTGCATGGATAATGGAAAAGGGCATCAAAATACTTAAAAATTATTCAAAACGGCAAAAGCAAATCTAATGTTAGATATTTTTCTTTCTGTTTCCTGGTCACTGCAATAAGTTGCAGTTAATTCCAAAGAAAACACCACAAATATTGCTTGGATATTACTGGCCCCATTTGTCCGGCTAAGCTGCAGGCAGTAATCAGGCATTTTTGGAATGTTTACTATTGTTCGTCTGACCGGGCGGCGATGATCATCGAGCACTTTGATGTACCAGAGTTGTAACTCCTTCTGTGTCCTTCCTCCATGGGATAATTAATTGAACAGTCCAACTGGAACATCATTCAATTCAGGTCAGATGTCAGCGAGGCATCTAATCAAACAACTTTTCTACCTGTCTTCTGAATACAGATGAATTTTCAACTGATGTGATGTTACATGGCAGCTGATTCCAGTCCCTCGTTGTAGGGAAGAGTGACTGCTCAACTAAGCATTTAGTTCTTGTTGAAGGAACTGTTACTGACGATCTTGTTTTCCCAGTGTTGACATCCCTTGTGTTGAACTTCACGTGGTCAACTTTCAGATCTACATTTATTGTGAACTATTTTGTGTAGCATAACTAATCTGTTAATACGTCGTCTCTAACAAAGTGTTGAGAGTTGAAGGTTTTGAGCATGGCGGTAACTAAGCTTTCTCTACTACAATCATTGGTGATGAAGCGCGCTACCCATCTCTGCACTGCCTCCACTTTCTCTGTTGCATTTAGTATGAAAATCCCTTACTAAGCTGCAATACTCAACATGATGTCAAACCAGGCTCTTGTATGCTTGAATCTCCACTTTTTGAGGGGCATTGCCAAGGTCTTGATGAAAAAAAACAATTACACCGTTTGCTTTGGAGACTACTGTATCGATGCAAAAGTTCCGTTTGAAATTAGAAGAAAGGGTAACTCCTGGATACTTGTGGTGTTTCAGTACCAATGTTGGAAGTGTGATTAGACAATACCGATACCAAAGTACTAGCTTTTCTCCTCATGAAAAGTGACTAAGATGAGATGACATGTAATGACAAATGTGTCGACAGGATGCAACATTCTTTCTGTTAAATAAGTATTTCAATATTTGAGCAACATTTATGGAGCTGGGGCTCAACTGCGTAAGATAATAAATAGCCTCCGGTCAGTAGCCTAGGCCATCATGGCGTATGGCTATAGTATAGGCCTAAAACAACAGTCACTCCACAGGCGTGACACGGGCCTCCTGTTCACCCGGCCCAAGTCATACAATGTACATCGTGATGAGTGAAACTAAAATGCAGACGTGTCCTAGAATGAGGATTATCCGTGATCCTACCTGAGAGCAGAAGTACGATCCCTGGATGCCCAGTTTAATGCATGTTGGGCATTGTAAACGGGAAACTTTCCCACAATCTGAGGTAATACACGTTCTCCCCTCATTCGCCATCTTTCATGTATGTCGTTCTTTAGTACAGTAGACTGGTTCCCGGTACGTTCGTCGCTAGCGCAATAGCGCCCTAGCCCTACGTACGTCTCAGAACCGTATAAAAGCACCCCCTCACCGGCAAAGAAGAGACAGGGTGGTGGAGCAATTTCTGTGTATGTATCACACAAGCGCTTACAGGCATACGTGGGCAGGTTCCCATCCCCGCTTGACTATGATGTCATGGGAGACAGTTTTAAATTGTGGTTGACTAGTGAATCAGTACTAGATTTTTGGAGCCCATTCGTTCAGTGAAGACCTCAAAAATCAAAACGACTAGCGAGAACACGTTTCTGTTGGAAAGCATTTGAAGGAAGCGTTGCTTATTATTAATTATTTCTGGTAATGACATCAAGGATTCCTCAAAACACCACTACGCCAACCTGAACCCCCCCCCCACATATGACTAGCAGTTCGATTTGGGAGAAATTTTTGACCCTCGAAATGGCTTCCCAAAAAAGTCACATAAAACTGCATACTATTTGGTGTGGTTGAGTGAATAATTGTATCTTTTTTTAATGATTTTTCCAAACTTCTTTCTGTTGCTACGTCAAAGAGTTGTTTTGCCATCCAGAGATCTACGGGAAAAACTGTTACGGTTGGCCGTGAGTACAAAAGTAAACAATAATTCACGAAGTGAGAAAAGAATCTTTCGTGTCTATAAAACACTGAAAAAACTGCTATAAGATAGACACTGGAATAACACTGTATTTGATACTAATTGATTGATGTGCAATTTGAGGCAAAAGTTGTGGAGAACGCCGAGATGGAAATTTCTGTAAACTTTGCCGCCCGTTTAAAATGTGTAGCGCCCTCTTTTTGTACTTTTTCCATTTCGCCTCGATTGCAATTGAGAGACTGGAAACTAGTCTAAAGCCGTTTTTCAATACTAGACTTCGGCTCCGTTGCGACTTCAACTGTTTTTATTTACTTCCTGAATTTGAAGTTTTAAGCGCAATAGTAAGTCTGATAATGCCACAGAATATCAACTAAGATGCAAAGGAGCCAAACGTTACAGAACTTCAATTCAATTCGAACGCTTCAGGCCAACAATCGGGGATTAGTTTCGTAGACAAACCTGAGATGGAGACGAAGTTGAGTATTGGAAAACGCCCTAGGGCTACCCCTACTTTTCAGACAGTGTCTACAGCTAGGTCTTAGTCTTCGCCCATAGAAAATACGCGGGAGCGCGCTGACAATAGACGTAGCCGTAGCTCTAGAAGCCCGCTTTAGAAAGTGAAAGTCCGAGCGTTGTGTATGCGTGCTCACGTGTGCTGTGTAAAGAATGCATGAATTACGTGTGTACGTGTACAAACTAGCAACACATCAGTTAACGAAGTTGGCGTTGCGACGGGTCGATGCAACGGTGAAACATCGATAAACAATGTAGGCCTACTCCAACATTGGAAAGTCCTACTTCCCAAAATGTGAGTCGAAATCAACCTGAAATTTACTGGCAAACATGTCGTATGTCCAACTGACAGAAAAACAGTGCAATGACACGCAATGCAAACCACCCGACGACTGCAGAGAGAGATACTGGTACATCTTTTTGAGCTCAAGTTTGATTGCTTTTTTCGGCGGGATCGTGGTGATTTTGGTGTTCCGGCTGGTCGTGTCGATCAGCTGCAAGCGGCGCGTGCAGGATGCATCGCCGCCGACACCGAGCTTCAACGGCCCCGTGTTCAACGGTAAAAGCCCGGACATCGAGGTCCCTTGGATGACTGCCGTCAAAGATTGGGCTGGGGCATTAATATCAGCACAGACGAAGACTGGGAAGTTTTTGGTAAGTAAGCCATGGATAAGCCACCATTGTTCTTGGCCTTGGCTCTTGGAAAAGGGGAACTTTAATTTAGAACAGAGAATTTTTCATGCATGACTCGAACTTGTAAGTCGAATTTGGCAAGATAAGAACATGGGTTGAGGGATGAGCCCAATGAGCCCAGACATGTCAGACCCAGTTTGACAGGTGTGAAAAATTTTGGTGTTTTCCAAGTGAACACCTCAGTCTTTTCACTGCAAAGTTTGATGTGTTAGGACGTTTTACTGATTTCAGATGGCAAATTGGCTGGGTCACTGCTGGGTAAAAATCAGTGGCGTCGTTATTATGGAATTCTTTCCCTAACTTTTGACATTTTATTGCTTTCAGATGGCTATTAAAAGTGCAGGAAAAATAAATGGCAACAGTGTATGGAATTCTTTCCTGGCAATGCATTAGGAATTTCGTCTACTTGCAGAAAAGTAAAGTTCTGAACCTTGAGAGTGGTGCCTGTAGACAGTCATTGATTTCAATCTTGGCTCCATCCTCTCTTGTCGTTAGGTTTTCTTCCCCAATATTTCTTGCACTTGGTCTACAAGAATATTTAGAAACTCAGACTCACCGGTATGGTAAGATGCAAGAATTCTCTGAAAATGCATTAGTTCCATATTGTGAAACTGAAAATGAAGAAATATCTCTTGCCAAAATCTTTTGTGATGCCACTATGCATGGCATACCATACTCTTCAGGTGCGAGAAAAATGTTGTGGTTCTATTTAGCCACAGTGCTGTCTGTCGGCATAATTGTAAGGTTTGTAGAAACCATACTGTTCTGGTAATAAAGGCCCTCAACAATTTGTCCAGTGAGATTAAGTATTAATGACTCAGATGGTGAAAGGCAGTTTTAATTACAAAAACTGCAAGCTAATCTCTCTGTATTGCCAAGATCGTGTTCTTGCATTATGTTTTTTTAATGATCTGGTTCATATTGTATTTTTTACAAAGATTTGCTTCAGGCCATTGCATGTAATTGTCTTACTGAATTTGGCAAGCAGTTTAATGAATCATTGAATTAGTAGAGGTAATTAGTTGTACAGACTTTATATTTAGATTTAACTGCAATTTTGTAAATATTTATTGAGTCTTATAAAATTGAATTTAATAACGGGCAGTGGCTTTATAACATGCTTGTAATTTGCATCCAGAACGGCTGTCATTGACTGAAATTAATATTTTGTTTAGACTTTATTCTTGAGTCAGCAAAGTTGAGTAGTGAGGTGCACTCTTCATTTTGGGAATTTGAGGGTAGAAGAGAGCATAAAATGAAATTGAACCAACATTGTTCATGTCTTTTCTGATGAATGATTTCTAATTTGTGATTGAATGTTAAAATTGTTTCACTTGGCCAGATTTGAAAAATATCGAAATGGAGAATTGGAG